ATGAATTTATTAAAATTATTTTTTATTACATGTTTAATTTTCAAAGAGTTTTCATCTGTTATAAAAATAATTTGTTATTTTAACTTCAGTTGCATAAATTTAATTGTTGTACAACTTTCAGCAAGAATAATTTGTTTATTTTAAATTAATATATATTAATCTACATAGAAATACATCAATAGTTATTTGTTTATAATAAATTATAAGCTAGTTATAACTTGAATTCATAATTTATTTTAAATATATTTAAGTTAAAATATTAATTAAAAATTTGAATAATATTTAAAATTTTGAATATAATTGAATGAAAATTTTTTGTTTCAGCCATCTGAGGGCAACTTTACTGTACGATTAGAGGTAATATTCCAATTTATTATTTACTGTTTTTAATAAAAATGTTTGTTTTCTTATTATACAGTCCAATTTATAACAAAGTTCTGTTTTAGAATACTCACTCACCATAAGTTGAGCATAAAAAAAAAAAGACTATCCTCTTAAGCTTGCATAGTACTGTATGTGTATATACATTGTAATTTGTTTTTTAAATTTCTCTCTCTTTAGAGAATTAATAATCCTATTGTAAAATAAAAATGATCATCCTGGACTGAAAACTTCCCAGAAAATTTTGTTTTTGCTTTTAAGGCACTAATGGTGCAAACATAAGTTGTAATTGAATTATTGTTATATATTGTGTACTTAGGAACCATTATGATATTAAAATTCATAGTAATTGTTGTATCGTGCCATTACCATGTACAGCTAATTATTTGGACTTAAAATATTTTTTAATATACAAATTACAACTGTCAGAAGTATAGCTTGTCATAAGTTGAGAGGCTGCAAGTCAGGAACTGGCTATATATTGAAATTCTAAATTAAAAATAAATTGATTTCTTGAAATATAGCTTTATTTGATATATAATTATTTACTAATAGAAATAAGAATTTCTAATTCTTAGAAATAATTTAGCTGAATAATTTTTTATACTGTTGGTTCAGAAATTTTTAAGTTGAAATTTTTCTGAAATCTTACAAACTATTCAAAAACAGAATATTATTTATTCAGTTTAGTTACTTTTGTATGTTTCATGTTGCACTGTTTAATTTCATCTATATATTTAATGTGTACTGTTTATTTGATTACATAAATAATGATATTGATTTGCATATCTTTAATGCAAGTGGTTGTGAAATGAGTTTCTAGAGAAGCTTGGTTACATTATAGCTTATGGGCTGGATCTGGCTTATAAAAAGTTTTACATGATTCAAACAAATAATCTTGATATGTTTTGATCATAACATTTTAAAATTCTGTGAAGACACAGGTTAATGCCAAAATTTTACAATGAAACACACAACATGCAGTAAATCTCATACCTGAAGACTACAAATGAGATTTTGCAAATAAATTAGAAAGCACTGCAGAAAATTATTTTTTGATGATATTTTTGCTCATTCTATGTATGTTTAATACATTGATCATTACAGTCATGTAAATTTAAATTTTAGTTTTCATATCAATACTGAGAAATAATTAAATTATTAATCATTAGACTATCATTGGTTAAATTTGATATTGTCTTAAGTTTATCACACAAAAATTTTTAAATTACTAGTACTATGTTACAATATATCAGTGTAACAAATTATAAATTAACCAAATTAAAAATAACATGCTATAAAAATAGTTTTATTGGATTGTTCAGAAAGTAATTTTGTTTTTTTTCTGTGGAGAAAAAAAAAACATTTTTATAAATAAATATTTTATTGAATTATATATCAACCATTTTGGTCAAATATCTGTTGTCATCATTTCTGGTAGTAGCATGATTTCACATTCATAAAAGTTTTTATCGTTGCTTACAAAAAACTGATCCAAGTGATTTTTGACATTGTCATTTCAAGTAAATGCCTTACAGTTAAAAAAAAAAAATTGTATAGACTGGAACAAGTAATAATCTGAGTGTGCTCGATCTGGCAAATATGGTTGGTGTGATAGCACGTCCCATCTAAGTCATAACAGTTTCTGACGAGTTACCAAACTTGTGTGAAATTTGAAATTATCGTGGTAAAGCACTACACCTGTTTTGTTGATCAATTCTGGCTTTTTCTGTTTGATGATATTACTCAATTTGTTTACTCGATGGCAGTACACTTTCGAATCAATTGTTAAATTGTCTGGTAAAAGCTCCAAAAAAAATTTTCTTAAAATCCCACCAAAGAGAGCATCTCTCTTTAAGAACATGTGGAACCCATATATCAAGCTTTGAAATGAAACCAATTTGTTTCAAGTAATGATAAGCAGTTCAATTTGACAAATATAATCTCTTAGTGATTTCACGTGTTGTTATTCGGCAGTTTGCTTCAATCAGTACCTTTATTTTGTTTTCATTGGCTTCAACTGGCCATCCAGAACGTGGTATATCTTCAATATTGAAATTGCCAGAACAAAATTTTGTAAACTAGTTTTGGCATTGTCATTCTGTCAATACATCTTCTCCATACAAGTCACACAATTTTTTTCTCGCTTGAACAGCATTTTGATTTTTCGGTAATAAAAGAGCAAAATATTCCGAAAATGCTGCTTTCGATTTTCCATATTTGATGGGACACAAAAAATAAACAATTGCACAAAATCAAACAAAAGTTTTTACAAATAAGCCTTAAAATGCTAGCTGTCAAAATATATAATGATAATATTGTTTAGAATGAAAATGGTGGGAAAAATATGACTAATCTGTCTAGTGGTAAAAAAACAAACTTACTTTATGAACAACCCAATATTTCAATTAGATATTTAATGATAGCATGTTATCGGTCAATAATTTTAATAGTTACATTATTTAGAATAATTTAATAGAGGGAGGAAGTTACACTTGGAAGCTGCAACTTAAACCTGCAACTATGTGGGTCCTGAAATCAAATGTAGACAGTCAAAAAAAATTCTAGGAATTTTTGAGAGTTGTCCTTCTTGGATATGTTGACCCTTGTCCCTCATTATACAGTCCATCCATTGTGGATCTGACTGAACTCATGATGTGTATGAAAAAAAGGTCCCCTTAGTGCTTAGTTATAATAAAATTAATTTATTGATTATATTAATGATAATTAAATGTATTTAACAATATTTTTTTCTTACAGCTAAAAATTTTAATCCTAAAAAATATTGTAGTTAGCATATGTAAGATAAGATTTATTATAATAATTTTATATGATTATTTTTATTAATTTAAACTGTCTGAAAATGAATAAATTCATTATTTTTTGATAAGTTTATTTGAATTAATAGTTACTAAAATTATTTGTTTGTTGCACATTTGTTTTATATTAATATATATTTAAATTAAAATATTTGACTTTTTTAATTATTATTTTTAAATGTTTAATTTATGTTAAACTATAGGTTTTATTTATGGAAAATTTTTAATAAGCAAAATTTTTAGGGAATTAAAAATCCGACACCATCATGTGGAGGACAAATACGTTTAGCAGACGATTTGAAAGCTGAACAAAGTAATGCTGTTATTGAAAATAAAGAAATGCAAAAATCAGTAAGTTTTTAAGAATTTCATTTTACAGTAAATAAAACCATTTTTAGACTTTTGTATAGAAGTATAGTAGAGCATTGGTTATCGGAAAAACCAATTAATCAAAATCAACTTCAGACAGTACTAATTCCAGAAATTATGAAGTTTTTACATAATGACAGTTGTTAGTAATCTTATGTAGGCTTGCTAACAAGCTATAGCATTATAAATACTAGAGTTAAGTTTTATTTATTACAGTACAAATAGAAAAACATAAGTAATTAGTCACAGACTTCTAATGTAATGAACTATTTATCTTTTTATTCTTTCTCTACAAAGTATGATCAAATATTCAAAGTTGTTCCAATCCAGTTATTTCAGATACTTGACACTTTTCTGTATAATTGAATTTATTGGTGAAAATAAAAATTTATATGAAAGAGTGTAAAATTCATAATCATTAATTTATTATATTCCATAAAGTTGTTGTTGTTTCTATGACCATTAATTATTGTATAGTGATTAATAAAATAAAAATAATAGTAATTGTTCTTATTAGGTTAGTGGACAAATTAAATATAATTTTCTAAAAAGAATAAATTCAGATAAAATAATAATCTGTCTAGATCAATGATGTAAAATCACTGGCTTATCAGTGGCAAGATTTTCATGGTGCTCCAAAACACTGAAAAATTTTAAAGTTGTATCAAAAGTAAATGAAAATTTTAATTTAGAAAAAAATTTATAATATTCTCAACACACTAATTTAGGAAAACAAATTTGATTTGATAATTTCCATCCAATGTAATTTAATATGGAAACAAAAAATTATTGATATGCAGAAGATTGTTAAATAAATGAAATTGTAGGAATAGTTTTAATATAAATGATTAAACAAATACTAAATTAATGGAAAAATTTATCTAATGATTTTAATTCTTTGCAGAAATTTACACTTTTAACAATTTTTCTTTTAATATATTCTTGTAAAACTTACTTTTATTTTTACAATTATGAATTATAAAATAAACTTTGTGAAAAAACAAAGCCATTTTATGGCAGAAAATTCTGAAACTTGAGTTGCTCATAAACTAGCAAATTACTCATATAAGCCAAATATTAAGAAATTATGATCCCAAATGGGATAATAAAAGCCAAATGATTTAATAAAAATCCACATGTATATGCATATATGTACTTGCAAACACATAAGATGCAAAGAAACAAACTTATACATGTGTGTGTAAAAATTTCTTTTAATTATATATACAGAGTGTAACAAAACTATGTCAATATTTTATGAATAGATTCTAGGATCAAAATTAAACTAAGTCCTCTATAAACATTTTTCAAATTTCACTTTGTTTTCTAGATATGGTCTTCCAAAAACAAATCATATCCAAAACTAATTTAAACCTTCCAAAAGAATACTACTGTTTGTCTTCCACTTCTATGTTACCAAAATGTACAAACAGAAGCTTCATTTTAAACTTTGAACATGTTTTTTACAAGAAGTAATCATCTATGTTAATGGAGGACATTTTTAGCAGTTCTTGTAAATTATTCTGTTTAACTTTGTAAAAAAAAATCAAAATATTGTTTAAAGTAAATTTACATTGAAAAACTCTTGCTTTCCAATTATTATTATTTTTAATGTAATGCTAATGGATACTGCAAAATCTTAGAGTGGGTGAAGGATGGTCCATAACTTCCCATCCATAATTTTTGGAGTTTTTAGTTTTTTTCATCCATAGTTTTTTAGCCAGTATAAAGGCTGACATGTCATATGGGAACTTGCATTATTGTGCAGAAGGCTTACCATCTTGCACATAGTCTGGACTTAGCACACACTGATTTCTACCTTATGTCTTAAGAAATATCTTGGTGGATTACACTTCTCAGATGATGATGAAGTTAAAGATGTAGTCATGGACTTTTTCAAATCATTAAGTTTGAGAATTTTTTCAGAAAGGAATTTTTGTCCTTGTCTCCTGCTGGGAAAAGTGTTTAGAAGAGAATGGCAACTATGTAGAAAAATAGCTTAGACTGCATACTTTCAAATGGCTAATTTAATTTTTTAATGTAATTTGTTATTAAGTTGTTATAATATATTATATCTTACATGCCCTTAAATTGACAGGTAAAGATGTACTATAAACACGGTAGTAGATCCATTCTATTTAAATTTGATAAAACACCAGTAAAAATTTAAATTAGAAAACCAATGTAATTAAATAAAGGCATAAAAAGTTTATAACTGTAATTTGGTTATATATAAGAGTGGATAAATAAGTAACCAGCCAGGCAACTAGCCATAATGTTGCTTTTGGCTGGCTATTTATTGATTCATCCTTATATACAATACTGTACATGGACAAATGTAAAATTTATACTGGTAAAGTTATCAGTTGTTTGTCTATGAAAATATTTTGACTTTGCCAGATAACATTAAAAGATAGAAATGTTACTTTTTTAATGAAATTTTTTTATAGATTTTATGCAAATATATTTAGAAAGTCTGCAAATAAAAAAATTTTTTGGGAAACTGCAGAATTCTGAGGAATTTTTATTTTTGAGCTTCAGTTGCAATTGGTAATTGGCAATACTTCATTCATAACGTTGAATATTATCAAAGAGCAAGAATGTTTTACTTTTATGTAAATGAGTTGAGACAGACTATTTAATAGTACAAACACTCTTCGACTTTCAATGTTTTGACATATGATGGCCAATGTGAGTGAAGAGGAAGTGCAGGAAATTGGTTTGAATTTGAATTCAGGCTACTCTACTGATGCATTAGTGATCTTTCTTGAGACTTTTTTATATAATATATATCATCTTATATCTTCTTACAGTATATCCATTATGTCTGCAAAACACCCCATTGTATCTCCTGCTACCAGTGAGAAGAGGAAGCGGAAGTCTATTATTCTAAATGAGAGACTTAAAATAATGTCTAAGCATTCTGCCATCTCCTTAAATTTTTTTAAGGTTTTACAATATTTGAAAGTGTAACATTAGCATAATATAATTCTGTACATTTTTTTTTTATTCATTCTTTCTTTTCTTATCTTTACAATTTATAATACAATATGTAATGTTGCATACTGTGTAACCTTGCATATAGCCTATTTTTATTTTTATTTTTAACTTGCAATATTTTTGACTTAAAATGTGTGTTTTGGAATGTAACTCCATCATAAGTCAAGGAGAAACTATCTATTTTTGCGCAGCAAAATATTACTTGAGCAACCTTCTAAATTAATCTTTAGATACCACTAACAGCAGCAAGATTAGTTTATTATTATTGAGTTAATCTACAGTGACAATGACAAGAGGCAATCATTGCCACTCTCTAAATTAACAATAAAATAATAAAACCCAGTTAAAAGGAGACAACATAAAAAAAAGAGAAAACATACAGTGAATAAAAAAGCATAACATAAAAAAATATGATAAATAAAATCAAATAAAAGCTTATATAATAGATGTACATAAAAGTAATATAAACCTGATAATATATATGGTAAAATTTTAAAAAGTAAAATTAAAGGTAGTCATATAAGATTCTTTTACAAATTGTTTTAAAACTAGTTATGTTTTAAATGAAGGTAATCCTCAACAGGGTGGACAGAGGTGGCGACCCTGTAGAAGGAACACTGTGATGAATTTAATTTGTAAAAGGGATGATTTATGCAGAATTCATTTTGGATATAGGCAGTTGGTATTTTGATCATGATAACATTGGGAGAAATTGAACAATTAAAATAATTATAATATAGCAATGGATTGAAATATTTGATTAATTTGTAAAAATTGGATAAGCAAAGTTTAAGTTGTTATTGTGGGGAAGTAGTATAGGATAAGTTGCTTAATTTATTAAAAGTGAATGTGTTTTGCATATATTTTAATTCATATAAAGAGTTTGCTTTATTGTTGCCAATAAATGCGGTCAGTTTCTTAGTTGGTGGATATTAGGAATTTTAATCATTTTTAAAAATTTTTTATCTTTGAAACATTATTTTTAAAAATTATTAAACTAAACCTGATTGTTCTTAGTTTGAATAGTTTTTAGTTAATTTGTATTATCATTATTTAATTATTAAAGATATTCTGCTATAAATCAAATGCATTTTAATTATTGATTTGAAGTTAACTTTTTTTGTAAAATGTCAATTATAAAAGTTTTTAAAAATCAATTTGAAATCTTTAGGATTTAATTAATTAAATTGTTTAATATGTTCTCAGTGAATTATGATTATTTTTTTTTAAGTTGCAAGAGAAAGGTCATGCTATATCAAAAAGAGATGCAGAGAAGGGTACAGATATTCAAGATGCTAATACTGGTAAGTTCAAATTAAATTTTAACAGCTATTAAGTTTTATGTCATTAATAACTGAAGCTATATTTTGAACAAACACTTTGTTAATATAAATGATCAATACAAGAGGAAAGGTATTCACAGATAATTTTCATAAAACATGAAATGATGAAATTGTTGCAGTTGATATCAGTCTTATAAACATTTATCATACATATTTGGGCAATCTATATGAATAATATGCATAAAATTTCAGCCAATGATGATTACTTTTCACAAACAGAAAATGAAAAGATGTATACAATGTAGAATCTTTAAATATTTTTTACTATTTCATACTTGTTATCAATTAGATATCAAATTTCATTTAAATACATCATATAATATTACAGTAATGAAAATATACAGTTTAATTAGATAAAATAAATGTTTGATAGACTTAATTGTACAGTATATATCACTATTGTTACTGCTTGTAATTATTTAATCTTTTTGATCTAATGAATTTAAGTTTTGTTACTTAAATATTTAAAAAAAAATTAACAAAATACTTTTATGGATAAACAGTGTGCCCAGCCACTTGGAAAACTGGAAATTAGCCTGTAATTTTGAGCACTGAGAAAAAAGCCAGGGGGAGATAGCCTAAAACAGGTGGTGAACCTGTGGCACATCAGGAGAAATCATCTGGCACATAATTTATCATACAACTTCAGTTTATTGCTTGCCTTTATCAATCATCCTTTCTGTTTATCTGATTATCTGTTTTTCTATCAGTTTTATATTTATTTTGATTAAAGTACAGTAGAGCATCGATTATCCGATCCCCGATCAACCGTCACGTCGGTTAACCAACCATGTTCTAGTTGGCAAATTCAAATGTCCGCCAGTAATGTGGAGCTACAATATTTGGTTGTTTTGGCTACTTTAATATTATTTTTACGTGTTTTAGCCAGTATTTAAACAAGGCTTAATTTTCTAATTTTTAATGATACAATAGCGACAATTATTATTTTAAAAAATTTTTGTTAGGCTTAACATTGATGAAAATTCAACGCGAAGTAGGTTCATAGTGATATACTATACTAATTTTTTCATATTTTTCAATTATCCGTTTTTTCAGTTATCCGACCAACCCCAGTCCCCAATTGAGTTGGATAATCGCTGCTCTACTGTATATTCATTTTATTTCTTTATATATTGTTATTTGAAGTCAAACTTTGGCATGCATAAACATTACTAAAGATAGGTATGCTTAATCTCTTACTTTACTTATGGCATGTGAACTCAGAAAGGTTTGCCACCTCTGGCCTAGAATTTTGTTTTTTGACTGTGATTTAGTGACAGGCATATCGGAGTTCATGAAATTTTTGGACTGAAGCAAGACTCAACTCCCATTTGAACTTGAGACTTCATATGGTGCTGGTAGAAAAGATTCTGAATTTGATAATCTTTGATACAGCCATCTTTACAATTAGAAATCTATAGATGTGTGTACAGTTATAATTCCAAATTAAAATTTCTTGTTATTTTCAATATAATATCTATTTATAATCTTGTAATATTTGAAGCTGTAAGTAATTGAATGAATTCATCAAAACAGAGATTTGTTTTTATATAAAAACCTATTTCAATTCAGTTCATTACAAATGCCAACAACTGAATGACATCACTTCTTTGTGGCCAAGACAGATTAGTCTGATTCACTCATAATTTTTACAGTGAGCCTAGATAAGAATTAGAAATGCATTCAGTATCATATTATAGTAAGAAGTACAATTCTGCATTACTAAATGTGGATGGCCAAGGTCTGGACTTGCTTATGACTCAAGTACATCACATCCCTCCACAAGTCTCAAGTCCAGATTCATAACAAAAAATGGACTTGCTCATCTTTAGTTCAAATTTGAGCTTGATAGTCTCAAACTTCATTTTTATGCTTGTTGTGTTGAACTTGATACTGTCAAATTCTGACATTGGGCAATTTTTTCATGAGATTTTAAAACCATTCCAGTTACAGTATAAGAAAACAATAGGTGCTTCCAGTTATTCAGCTGTTAAGCATCTCATTGGTCAACACTAACAGAAATAACGTTGCTGCAAACATATGTAAACAAAATTAGCAACTTTCACTCTTGCTATTTTGTAGCAAGAGTGAAAGTTGCTCAATATGGCAGCACCCAGTTTACAAGTCCACATGGTAATAAAAGTAGAAAATACCAAGAAAAAAGTTATTTGTATATCTGAAAGCATATATTATTTGCAAATTGTATTAATGTATTTTATAACGAATTTAATTATTTCATGTAATTAGTAAGTTAAGTCAAAGGTTAAGAAACTAAAATCAGTTTAATTAAAATTAATAAATATTTTTACAAGAAAAATTTTATTAATATACTTACTTCATTGTTAATTGTTAGTTGCAAAAATATTGTATCATTTGAAAGAAAGCATTATAATAAAAATTATATTATCACAAACAAATCATTGTCTATAAAAATAAAACTTATTAGAGTAACGAGTAGTTCAGGATTATTTACTAAAATAAAAAAAGACTAATAAGAAAAAAAGTTGAAAACCAGAATCATTGTAACTGAGAGAGGGGAGAAAGAGAGAGTATACTTACATCATGAACTATACACTAATTGATTGATATCTGATACTGCTTTTAAAATTCATCTCTTTAAACACAAGTCTGGAACATATTTTCTCTGAAAGATAATTATTTTTAGAGATCAGCAAATACTTGTTTTTCATTTCAATTTCTTCACAGAGAAGTAAACAAAGTGGATAGTTTTTTATTAACAACATAAGATTGTCTGTATAAACATATTATTTTGAAGCCATATGTGCATAATATAATAAAAAGTTTGTGAATCATATTTGTGGTAAATATAATTTAAAACTTTTTATAGAAAATCAGAAAATGAAAGAAAATAACAAAAAAGAAACTGCGACTGTTAAAGAAGTATCTTCCAGTACAAAAGACCAGAATGTTTCACCTGATCAGTCTTCAGATGATAAAGGAAATCAGTCTACCACAAAAATTACTCCAATAGTTTCAAAGGTTTGTATTATTCCAATTTTTCAGTATGAATACATTTTATGAATAAGAATGATATATACATACAAAATTTTGAAAATGAATACATGTATTTCGATATTATATGAGCTGAGAATTTTAAACCTGAGATCTTTATTCATAATAAAAAAAAATTAAAGATTCAGATATATACTTAAGGATTCAAAAGTTATCAGCAAAAATTCAAAATTATTATTAGCCATCATCAGTCTTCATTAATCTTTAACTTATCTCATGTTGAAATTTTTCTCTGTTGCATGTGGCCGCCATGTTGAATTTTTGTCGTCGTTAAGCCTAATGAAAAAAAATTTTTTTAATAATAATCATGGCTACTGTATCGTTAAAAATTATTTTTTTATTTTGTACAAACAAAATAAATATATTGAAAAATATAAAATCAAAGACATTATATTTTGAAAGTTTGTTTTAATATAAAAATTATGACTCATAGCGACATCTAGTATAAAAAATGTTCTAATGCAGAGACGAATATATTTGGGGTTGCCAGGACAGATCAAATGAGGTCAACATTTGAAAATATTTGGGAACAATGCAGGACAGGTTAACAAACTCTCTGATTTGGGGTACAACATACTAAACATAACTAAACAGTCAAGTACAAAATTTAACTATTTTGTAACAAATTTATGCACAACATTTATGCATTTCTACATTTAAGTTTTATTCAATATTACATCAGAATTTAGCTTATTAATATGGCACATTAGCAATATTTTTTGTTTTTCTTTGAAAGTATAATTACAATCCAATAGCACATGCCATTTCTGGTCTTTTCCAAACACACTGTACAATGAACAGTTTGCATGGCTTTAAAACTTCAAATATTTATCCTTAATTATCAATTTATCACAGTTCAATCCTACTTGGCAAATCAGACATTTCACAGATAATGAAATATTTAGTAAAAGATATGGTTGCATTAGACCAATTGAAATATCCTGTTTTAAATTCTTTCTGGCGATACATCCTGTGTTTGATTCATATTTCTGTTCAACTCATTAAAATATAATTCAATAGCAGTAATATTCTGCTATTGAATTATCTATATTCCTTATCAGAAAGAAAGGAAAACCCAGATTTCACACTCTGCATAACTGATTTAACCAATTACAAACATTTGTGTGGATTTCTTAAAATATATTTCCTTTAAATGTGTAAGAGATTGACTTAAAATAATTCACTATTAAGTTCAATTTCTGTCTAAGATTTTGAAGTAATATAAGAAGAAATGTGATGTAAGTCCAGTTCAATCACTCAATCAATTAAACCTTTATTAATGCATTAGGGAGTTTTTCTGTTACTGGGTGTTTACATATAATCTTTACACATCTATTAATTTAACAACAGAATTTGCGGTATTTTTTTAATGTTATTTTAAGGTGCAAGCTCAGTTCTAATTTTATCAAATAACTCTGTACAGTTCATTCCAGTTTTAAAAATTTCTTAATGAAAGTCAGCTCTACATATTCTATTTTTCCTAAATAATTTATTCCCTAATTTGGGAAAGCATATGTTTTCACAACTTGAACTAAAACTTACTAATTTAACCTGTGTCATGTGGCATCTTTGAGCTTCCACATCATATACAATATTTTTTGACATTTCTTATATTTATAATTTCATTAAGAAATCTGAAAAAATTTTCATCTTCCTAACTTTTCAACCTGGAGGATGTGCACTGTACACTTTTTTTACTGCATAGAATACTTTTTGAGAAGAAAATGCTGTCATCTGAGAAGTCTTGTGATACATTGAGTATGGTAAAAGTTGTCAGAAAAATAGTAGGAATTATTCTTGTGACAGTCACTTCATGAAGATTTATGACCAAAATTCATCCAGACAAAATTACTTTTATGAAAAAATGTATCAATTTATTATTATATTTGAATATGTAACACTTTTTATATAAAATAAATTTGTTTTATAGACAAGTGATCACCAAGCAAAAGTGGATAAAGATGGAATGTATTTATTTGTGTTATTTATTGAAAGTGTAGATGGCAAACCATTTAATATTACAGGTAAGAAAAAGTATATAAAATTACCTTACTGTAAATTTAAATTGATGATTAACTTTTAAAAGTTACCTTTTAATATATAATGTGACCCTTTCATTAAGAAATGCACTTTTGGATAAAATCTTAGTTTATACATAACATTTAAATTATATTAAAGTTCAAATGAATTGGGAATTAAGAGTTAATATTAGAGCAATTACTGATAAAATGCACCACTTGCATGCGTGCACACAAAAAAATGTTTGTTTCAATTATTAACTTAAAATAAAATTTTTAATTATTCAACACCCCCTTATTTTGTATGCACATGTGTGCATTAATACTAAATTTATAGGATATATTAATGTTAAAACTAGAAGAATTTTCATTAAATCAAATATAATATGTTAATATATAAATATTTTCAGTTAATATTGAAATGAAAAGCCAGTATGGATATTTGTCTGCTGTAGATTGGCCTTTGCTTCCAGTAAGTATAATATGACATTATTCTTGATTTACAATTACAGTGGTACCTCAGGTTACGAACGCCCCAGCATACGAAATTTTCAGGATATGACATGAAATTCGAACATATTTTTGCTCCACGATACGAACAAAAACTCACCATACGACGTTACATTAGTTCGCATTTTTCATTTGTTTTTCTTACTACAGTTATTTTTTTAAATGTATTACTTGGCTTTAATTTGAGTATGTTTTTCGCGTTGGAACGAATTATTTGGTTTTACATGTAATCGTATGGGAAAAGATGATCCACCTTACGACATTTTCATGATACGATCTCAGTTTCGGAACAGATTAATTTCGTATCCTGAGGTACCACTGTATTTAAATTTTAATTTGTATTTTTGAGTAATTCATAAAATTAATCTTTATGCTTAATATCCTGTAACACTCGTCCCTTATATATATGTATTTATTCTTAATGACAGTAAATTATAATACAGTCAAACCTCACTACTACAATATTTTGGAAACTAGGAAAATAGTATTGTTATACTTGGGTTATCATTGTAGTGAAGTCTTGAAATGTGAGAACTGAGATCATTAAGAAAGTGAAGATTCATTTAAGTACATTTTGTGTCCTTATCTCAGTAAATCAAACTATTGTTATGCTGTTGACATCATCACTCCTATGTCTTCAGATATTTCAGAGAATAATCTAAGTTTCCATCGAATATACTGCACTTTATTTCCTTCTGTTTCTTTAAAAATGTGCTAGGGTGTACTGATACTATTTTGCAACATATGTTTGTTTTATTTCACTATCAATATATTTGAATGTTTCTAGCTTTATTTCTGAACTTATTTATTTCTATGCTTTTGCTGTTTTTTTTCCATGACACACTATTACTGCTTGTCTGGTGGAAAAAGGAAATAACTTTGTGATTAGTCAGATGCTTGTAGTTCCTTGTAGTAGGATTGGTTGAGGCAGTGATGACAGTTGCAATGCAGCCAATTAGCTAGTTGTGGGCAAACCATTCTGGAATGTGAGAAGGATCCATAGATAACAAGATCAGTGAACAGGTGCTCCTAGCTCTTTGTCACATGGTTCCTGCATTAGTCAATCACAATGAAGTATTTAAGTCTGCTGTGGATTGTGCCAATACATCCTGATAGTTGTATCATTGTATCAAGGTTTTTACTATCATTGTAATGGATGATAAATTATGGTATTTTTATAGGACTTTAGGCCAGGATCACCAGTTCTAATGTTATACTGGGGTTTATTGTTGTAATTGGTATTGTTTTAGAGACATTTGACTATATTTGATTATTATGTTGATATTCTATAAAATTTGTGCTTATTTGTTTTTCCACACAGTTGTTATACAGTAGAACCTCGATTATCCGAACTAATTGGGGATGAAGGTAGTCCGGATAACAAAAAATCCGGATAATCGAAACAAATACTTTAATTTGTCTTTTAATGATAATACAGCACGTTTTCTTTTCGATGACATATCGGTAATATTAAAAGTAAATACTGTATTTAAATCGTAATCAAATTTTCAAGAAACAAACGTTCGTATCGAATTTGGACTACTAGTGACCAACGCTAACAGACTACCTATTGTTTAAAAGGCCCTCTGATGGCGCAAGAAGACGGATTTCATAAAATAAAAACCAGTTGAAACTGCATTTTTATGAATAAAAATTTGACAAACTATTTATTGTTTTATGACGAGTAAAATTTTTTTATCGCGTTCGCGGCTTTTAAGTAATGCATAAACCTTCAAAACGCGAGGCCCTTCGGACCGCGAGGCATAGGCGGTGGCCCACGTCGTCCATGCCTTACGCCGCCCTTGGTCATAGAAATGATGTAATTTGAATATAAATTATTTATAAATATGTATGTCAAGTTATATTTTTATTACTACGTAAAATATATTTAAGAGTTTACGACCACTGTGCCAGGTGAGACGTTGTTGAAACAAAAAAGTTATGCATTCCGTCACGTACATAAACAGTGTCGTAATTCGCCAAGTGCAAATCAGCAAATTTGTAAATTTTTATTTTGAACAATCCGGATTTGAAAATCCGGATAATAGAGGTCCGGATAATGGAGGTTCTACTGTATTATGTTTACAAGCCACAATAATGATAAAATATTATAAAGGAATTCTAATATATGTCATTCTTTCTTTTTAATTTACTTCAAATTTTTTGGTACTATATGCTAAAGAAATGTGTGCACTGTACCTAACATTGTTAAAATCAAAATATCGTTTATTAATTATATAGTATAATAATACATGAAAACATATTTGCAAATATTTAGATAAAATATAAATTATTTTAATCTATATAAATGTTACTGTATTTACTCGTGTATAAGATGATCTCACATATAGGATGAGGTGTGACTTTAAAGATTAAAATAAAGAAACTTAGATTTATTAATACAGTTCTAATTTTATTTTGTTTAATCACAAATAAAATATCAAATGCATGTAAATGCACACATTGTTCTGCAAAAATTACTGACATTTTAATCTTTAAGGAAAAATGTTGTGAAATTGACAACATAATTTGTTCATGTAAAGCTAAACAAGAACCTTTTTTTTGCCAATTCTTAATAGTTGAATCCACTCTGTCAATTACACTTTTGAGTTTCTCCAAATTTTGATTTCTGAATAATCATCTGTTTTCACATGGGAATGGATTAAAACTTATATTGGGTTCCCATGTGATTTTGGAATTTCAATTTGGAATTCAATTCAAAAGCTTTACTTTTCTTATTCTTATTCATCTTTACTACTGACATTACGCAAGAATGATTCAAATGACCCAGATAAAATACTTTTGTTTTTAAACACCAGAGGGTGAGCATCCAGTAAAAAATGTGAATACATGGTTCACAAAAATTATTGCAAAAACTCAAAGAATCCTTTGCTTGCACATATAGGACGATCTTGATTTTTGAAGCAGTGAAAAATGAATAAAAACCTTGTCTTATATGTGAGTAAATATGGTAAATACTTTTACTTACCTGTCTGTTATAGAATATGACATAGGGAAAGTATGGCGATCAAATTTTGACTCTCCTTGGACTTTTTGCATTTCTCAACATTTTGATATTCTAGGAACCCAAAAAAGTAAAAAAAAATCTTTACAAAATTGTATGTATTCATGTTAGCATTTATTTTGTATTATATATCAGGACTGGATGAACCAAAACTCCTTAAGCTTGGCAGGGTTATTTCTGTATAGGGGCATTGATGATTATAAATTTTGTTGATTAAAGATCAAGAGGATAGGAGATGGTGGTCATGAATCATATCCTGAGTGAGGCATGCTTAATAATTTTTCTTATTGGCATTCACAGTTTTTTTTTAAAAACTTGCTCCTACTCAAAAATAAGCCTTTTGCCTTTTTATAATAATTAATAATATAAAAATTATTTTTTTTTATAAAATCTCATAACACATGGTACCACACACAATTTTAACTTTGGGCCTACTCTTAGTGTTTTATAAACTTAAATTTCTATATATATAAAAAAATATAGAAGAAACTAAGTTGTCTTCATTTTCATCATGTCCAATCACCAGAACAAAAACAATCTTCCCAGAGACAATCTTTTATTAGAGGCATTTTTTATTAGAACCTCTGCAAGATTATGTAAAAATTAAAAACTTCATTGATGATAAGTCAAAAAAATTAAATCATATATACATAATTTCAAATATATTCATATTTGATGTGCATATTACAGTTTAAAAATATCAATATCTAAAACTCATTAGTTATATATTAAAGCCAAATTAATTATTAAAATATTAATTTAATCATTAAATTTAGCAAGATGTGGCACCTAATGCTTTCCTCTAGCACCAAATAACTTAAACAAACAAGCAGTTATTTATTGTGATATTGTCACAATGCCGGCATGCAATTTTTAATCATATTTTTAATTTATTTAATTAAAAATATATGCTCTCTACCTCAAATTATTGGTAGTGTTTGCTCCTGTACATCATACTTTTTTGCTAGCAATAGTCATGCTAGTCATCTGTTAACTGTTTTCAGGGGAAAAGTTTTGAATTGAAATAATGTGACTTCTGGTTTGCATCAGATGTTCATATATAGTTAATTGGGGCCTCCTGCTCCTAAGGTTTCTATATCTGGTCTTGTCTTTTTTATCTATCTAACTCTGTTCTCGAGATTAAGGAAAGATGGTTGGACAGATGGGTGACAGTGGGAATTTATAAGTCTATGATTTTTTCAATTACTGGTGATTGAACATGAAAATAAAGACTATGTAGTTTCTTCTATATTTTTTATATTGTGGATATACCATCTGTCATTTTAATTGAAAATAAATTTCTCTATTTAAACTTATATTATTAAATTTTATATTGTAATATAATTGAAAACTATATAAATTATAATATTTAATAAACTTTCTTCTTAGTCTCTTTAACCTTCTGTTTGAATACAAGGAATTATGCAAGAGTCTTTGCCAGCTTTTTAAAAAATCACTAATAAAGAGAACATCACTATGTGCAAATTGTGTAATACTTAGTACTGTAAGGTCTCATTTTATGCGGTGGATACGTTCTACAGAAAAGCGCATATAAAAAATTCACATAAAAAAAGACTTTACTTGCCTTGAAAAAGTAGGGATACGTTCCGTAATTTTCTAAAATCGCATAAAACCAAAACAATGAGTTAAAATTAACTTAAAACCGCATAAAAAAAAGTTTGCAGAAATTAAAAGAAATAAGCTGCTTAATAAATTACTTCGAATGTCTGAAAGAAATTCATATAAAATTTAATTTCAAAACAATTACAGTTTATACCTTTCAATGCGAAACTCAGAATGATGTAATAGCGACTTGTCGATGGTATCATGTACAAGGGGAATCCATGAATTGCAAAAGTTCACTCTAAAAACAAATCACTGACATCTGGATGTGAAGAGTTAATTAAATTTTAACCCTTTAGTTCCTCTCCTGAGTTAACTCGGGCAGGTTACATAGCGTTACATAAAACACGGTCCTTAAGATTTTTGAAATTTTTTTTGAATTTTTGGAATGTTTTTAAGTCTTCAAATTTTTAAAAAATATTTAAAAATATACGGCCAGCTAGTGTTCACCCTACTTTAAACCCTTGTCCTCCCGCAATGTCTATGAGAAATGAGAATGCCCTGGGAAATCCAACTCCAGCTGTGTTCAAGGTCATCCAGATGTGTAAACAATGACTCATCAGTGTTAAATTTCACAGAAGGGCAAGACAAAGGAAGTTAAACTTTGAAGCTTTTTCTTCAAAATTAATGCGTTTCTTTCATTTTTTTCAGTTTTAAGTATTTTTTTTATGTTTAATTACATTTATATCAAAAATTGCTAGGAACTAAAGTGATTAAGGTAGATCTAGCTGTCCTTTACATCCATAAATGTTATATGTCAGCAGAACAAATGGAGTGAGCTTTGAGCATTCCACGATTTTTGGAGACTGTCCGTACGCAGGCTTCCTAAACAAGCCTATATGTATGTTTGTCCAAAAAATTTTTGGACGAAATACAAACCGCACAACTTCAAAATCGCATAAAAATAATCCGCATAAAAAGAGACCTTACAGTACTAACATTTATTTGGTAGTTAAACACATGCTGTTTGCCTGTCTAAGAGGATATTTCTCTATGGTCAATATTTCTATTTCTTCCATAAGAAAGTAAAACACGGACTATTCAATGAGCAGAGTGAAGGTGTGTAAAGCTGTGAAAGATGATTAGCAATGGCATCATTGCATAAAAACATTGTAAGACATCGTTTTGCATGAAGCTTTTCATAGAAAATGACCTGATTTGTAGCAAGAAAACTCATAGATTTTGCACTATGATGATGCACCTGCTCACAATACTCTTGTTGTTCATGAATTTTTAGCTAAAATTCAACAAATATGGTTCCACAAGCTACATTCACCCAATATGGCATCATGGGACTTTTTCAGTTTCCTTGACTAAAATTTCCACTTTGTGGTCACTGTTTAGAGTCAATTGATGCCATAAAACAAAATTTGCTGCAAGTCATGAAGGGATTTCATGAAAATGACTTTAAAGCATGTTTTGAGAATGGGAAAAATCTTGGCATAAATGCATTGCAGTGGGAGGAGATTACTTTGAAAGAGATGAATAATTTTGAATATTGTGTTTTATTAACCATTTCTGATCATTTTTGATCACAGGGGTGTTTTAACTTTAAGACAAGTGTACAAAAATTTATTCTATACATCTACTTAAGGAATAGAAGGAAAACAATGGCTTGTTATTTGTTGAAGATAGCGCAGTTTTGGCAAATTGCTTAGTTAATATAATAATTATATAATTGTATATGACTATATTTTAGAAAGAGTAGAGAAAAATAAGAGAACAAGAACTGAAATGTTGATTCTGCTTTTATACTGAAATAAATGCTTTTGAAATTCTGATCAATTAGTTGTTTAGCCCTTATTTACTTTAAATTAGTTCTAAAGTTTGTGAAGGATTGTTGAAAAATTTTTCAAAATCAGTTATTAAAAATAAAAAAATCTCAAATTTATTTAAATGACTTAAATTGTTTAAGATAAATGCTGATTTATATTTATTCAAATGTTTATTTGCAATACTAGTATACTACAGGGTGGGGCAAATAAAAGTGGTTCGGAGAACCGAGTTCATCCACTCGTCCAGGCCACTTTTATTTGCCCCACCCTGTAGTATAAAGGACTAGTATATAGTAGGAAAGATCTCACAATCATAGTGTAATCTTTAAAGAACAAACAAAATAAATTAATGGTAATGGTAAAGGAAATTTAATAATGAATAATAATACAAATAGCAATGCCTGTAATATTAATTTATTATTATAGCTAATACATTAAGGAGAGAAATTGTTTGGTGAAATTGTGATTTCATAACATTCTTACTGCTGTTTAAATTATAAAGCAACCTTGAAATGTTCAAAATTTATCATTGAGAAATCAATTTTATAACAACTTTTTTATTGATAACTAGCTGCGAGGACCCGCTTCGCTGGGTTTTTATTTGTATGTAATATAGTAGTTTATATATATATATATATATAAAAGACTGTTTTTCTAAGTAATCTAGAATCTAGCTGCAAGGACCCACTTTGCTGGGCAAAAAGTAACGATAGTGAAGATTAAGATAATTACATTATAGCTAATCTTACCCGTTTTCACAGAATGCAAGAATTAGGTCCCCCGTTTCCAGACTAATTAGAGAATTTTTACGTTTAGTCAAACGAACTATTTTCAACGTTTCTGGAACGTTTACAATCGTTCTATAATCGAACCAATATTCGAATTTTATGTTCGAATTTAATTCGAACAAATTCGAACAAAACATTCGAAATAGAAAGCCACTTTCAACCACTTTCAGCCTCATATCTCCCGCACCCTTATAGCTATCGAGACGCAACCACCCCTATGCACGAATGGAGACTTGGGGCTACCACCACATACAAACACCATTCACGTGCGATGTGTAGTTTTGGCGGAAAAGTGAAATATAGGGACATACATGTCCATTTTTATATATATATATATATATATATAGATTACAATTTTTTAAAATTATCTAAAAATGATATATTTTTTCTTTTCAGTTTTATGGTGTAATGTGTGGCATTTATGTTATTTATGCTATTGCTTGGCTTATTGTAACTGCCTTGCAATGGAGAGATCTCTTAAGAATTCAGTTTTGGATTGGTGGTGTAATCTTTTTAGGTAAGAATTTTTTTTATGTAATTTATTTTATGGTTACATTACCAAACATGATTTTTATTTTTTTGTGTGATATTTTGCTGATTTTTGAAATGTAAGCATTAGAATTGCTTACATTTCAAAAATCAGTTAGAAAATATCACATTACATCACAGTTTTCAGATATTGAAGCCTGAACGTCAGGTATCTGTGCATTTACCAATGTAAAATAGATGATGTAACAACACCATCATTAGGAATTATTACAAGAAACATTTTGAGTGAAGTTAAACAAGCAGCTGAAATATGAAACTGATATCCCATGTTCCTAAACTGAATGTATTGTTTAAAGCGCTTTAAACTAGAACTGAGCTTCATTGTTAGATTTTGAAATGGTTTGTTGAGATTTCTCCAATAGTGATAATCAAATAAAATGAATCTCTATGTACACTCAACAAATAAAATTAATCACCAAAATTTAGTAAGATCTATAGCACCTGTAATCTGACTATAATAATTTTTGCTATTTTGAAATATCAGGCATACACCCATAGTAGGAATCTACCTTCACTGATTTGTTAATGGTTAAAAAGACAAGTGGTGCATCTTTTGTTTTATACTTTTATTTTATACTCTTCTTATTTTACCGTGTTTTATAAACTTACTTATATTAATGTTTATTTGTATCTAAATCATATTCAGCATGTAAAACAGCCTGTTTTGGTGCAAAGCTTTTGATATCCTGCAGGGTTAAACATGGCTCAGATTTCATGTAAAAATGTAGATTCCCATCCTGATATATCTACCAATGTTTAAAATGAAGTAAATAAACAAAGCCACTTTAGAATAATTTTCACAGGTACATTTGTTATATCATATGCTATTCCGTATCCATGTTGTAAAACAAAGATTGTTTATATCTTTTGATCCTTGCATGATAGGAAAATCTGAACATGATTTTTGAAATCAGGAGAAATTTTTTCTATGTGAATAATTATTTTAATGACAAAGGTATATATAACTTTGGTATTAAAATACCAGAGTTCCCCCACAACCATATGGACTCTACCTCAATTGAAAGCAAACATAACATGCCATATTGCTGCAATTTCTCAAACCTATCAGGCTATTGTTGAACAAGGTAAGTCGCTTTGAACACATGATTGACGCAAATGGATTGCACATTGAACAAATGTTGTGAATAAAAACCTTTTGCATGTTTTCATTTTGTGTTTCTTATTCTTCATGTTCCATTTTTTCATATAGTGGTAGAAATTTGAACTAATTATTTTTTTGCATTTTTCTTTTCCCCATGGTCCATATAATGTATACCAAGTTTCATCAAAATACATCAAAAAGAACAGGCTCTATACAGGTCTGAGTAGGGCAACTTTAATTATAATCACCCTGTATGTATAATATACTACAGTAGAGCCTCGATTATCCGACCCCTGATTAACCGACTGTCCTAGTCGGCAAATTTCAAATATCCGCTAGTGATGTGGCACCACAATATTTGGCTATGTCTTGGCTACTTTAATATTATTTTTACGTGTTTTAGCTGGCAACACTCATTCGACAATGAAAGGGAGCCAGTATTTAAACGAGACTTAATTTTCTAATTATGAGTGGTTGTTTATTTTGTGAGCAATAAAATAATTTAAAAATAATTTTTAACGATACGATAGCGACAACAATTATTTTAAAAAAAATTTGTTAGGCTTAACATCGATGAAAATTCAACGTGAAGTAGGTTAATAGCGATATACTAATTACATGGGATATAATAATATACTACACTAATAATGGATTTTTTCATACTTTTCGGTTATCCGACTTTTCAATTATCTGATCAACCCCAGTCCCCAATTGGGTCGGATAATCGAGGCTCTACTGTATATTAAATAAACTTTAACAATTATGTAGAAATGTTTTTCAACAAATTTTTATTTTTTGTATACAATATAAACTATTATTAAAAATAGGAGGAAAAAATAATTGATTTTAAGTAATAAGTTGTATCTCTGATTCAAAATCCAAAATTTAATCTTTATGAAACTCAGATCCATTTTCTTTTCTTATGAATCCAAATGATTATTCAAAAGATTAGAAAACTTGTTTTTCTTATAAATGAATATTTAAATAATTTAAAATCTATTTTTACCTGTTAGTACTTTTAGTTTTGTAAAATGCATTTTATTATGTAGGACTTGTTGAAAAAGCTGTTCTATATGCAAAATATCAATCTCTAAATGAATCGGGTGAATCAGGTATCTCATTTATTACTTTTTGTTATTTGAAAACTGTTTAATTGTAACATATTTAACACATTTTTTTTAAAATTAAAGTGAAAGGAGCAATTATTTTAGCTGAAATCATATCTTCATTGAAACGAACTCTTGCAAGAATGTTAGTGATTATTGTCAGTTTAGGCTTTGGCATTGTAAAGTGAGTACTTTCACCTGTAATATTAATTTATTATGAAGTATAATTTTAAATTTGTTCTAATTAATGTAAGTTTAATTAAATAAAAATTAATTTCAATAAAATAAAGGTTAATATAATTTATTGATATAATACCTACATTAGTGTTCTTTTGACTTATATTTACAGATTGACTAGTTTATTCTTAGCTTAGATATTTATCATCAAGGATCATAATGTTATATTGGATGTTTAGAATAATTTAATCAAGTGTTTTTTTACATAAAAGTCAAAAGGAACATGTAATTAATATGATTCTGATGTTCTTGCTACCTTGAAATGATTATACACAAAATTTGTTTAATATAGTTTGTTGAGATTTTGTTAATTTTTTGACTTTGACTTTGACAAAAAGTTATGCATCAAGAAGGTGATGTTAGAATTGAATTTTAAAAATTTATTTTAAGGAATTCTTTATATTTATTAAAAATTCTAATATTAATGAACAATTTCTGAAATTTAATACTATTTAAATTTATTAGACCTCGATTGGGCCCGTTGCTGCATAGGGTTGTATGTGTTGGAGTTCTGTACTTTCTGTTAAGTGCCATGGAAGGATTTATTCGGTCTTTAATGGTAAACTTACTTTTATACACAATATATTTAAAGTATAACTAATCTTTTTTATTAAAATCATAGAATGATTTAATTGAATTAATGTAATATAATTTTAAATAAATAAAATTATATAAAATTATAGAATAATAAATAAATAATGTAATTGTAATAAATTATAATAAACAGTAACTATTATTATAGTAAAAGATTATGTTAAATAATATAATTTTTAATGAAAGTTCTTATTTTATTGTGATTTTATAATAAATTTCAATGTATTAAGCTGTATATCATAAAATTGTTAAAATAATTTACCTATTATTTGCTTGTATTAAGATACATGTTTGACAGATTTAGGTGGTGATAATTTACATTTAATCAAAACAGTCATTTTCATTAATGATGTTGATTAAGATTAAATTTATAAATAACACTAGTCTACAAAATTCTAAAAAATTTTAGCAACAGAGATGAGACATTTTAAATTACACAAATTTATAGTCGGCACGATGAGAGGTTGTACTTGGTTAATATTAACTGTGTCTATTTAGGGAAAATAGGGTGACACGTTGGGATAGAGAAAGTTTTCACTGTGTGAAAACTTTCTCTATTGGTTTTTTTAAACCTTTTTTCAGGGCTCCATTAAACTTTCTATTAGATATAAATATGTTTATAAAAATGTGTGAGACTTGCTATTAAATTCATAGATCACTGCTCCAGCTCCTCTCTACTTTCCCAGTTATCAGTCAAGATACAGAAGGTTCATTTTTGTTTACATACATGCTCTTTCCAAGGAAAAATAATTTATTATAACTGATAAAACTCATACAGCACAAGTTCTCACAATGTGAAGCAAAATTGCCATCCTGTCACCCTATCTGTCCAAAAATTTGCAAAGTTAGTATTGACCAAGTACAATCTATCATTGTGTCAATTATAAACATGTTGATTCCAAAAATGTTGTTAGTTTTTGCTGCACAACACAGAATTTTCAAATTACTATAAACTCCACCATATAAGTATAACATGAGAAGCTACATATAAATGAAAATAAATGCAGTGAAGAATTCACAAATAATATCTAATAACAGTTTATTAACTCAGACACATTGTCTTCTGGCATTTCAATGGTCAATTACTTTGCAAATTAGTAGATGATATCACAGAGCAAATCTCTGAACTTGCACCTACGTTTATGACATGTTGAATCTTCCTATTGATGAACGACACAAAAAATATAAACCAAAGGTTGTTTTCAACAGTTTAGAAATTGATCAGCATTGATTGCAGTGAATCTACCACATACACAGCAAAATTTATCTAGAGAATTGACACAAGTATCTTAAATAATTATAATACAAGTATGTTATTGTCTCTTTATTACAGTTCATATGTATAGCCTACATTGTTTCTTTCAGCCTGAGCTAGAAGAGTGCACACTGATATGCAAACTGTTTACAGCTCGCTCACAGAACAATAATCATGTTGTAAATCATGGGAGCAGGAAAATCTTCATCAGCACTGATCAACACTGACAAAAGGACATGTTATGCAGATATTTTATAGCTCATAACTGAAAATTCAGAGTTCAGTACATCCATTGAAATAAAATTTAGCATTCATCATGTCTGTCATGTACCATTCATCTGAAAATCATGTATACTAGCATAATAGCTATTTTTAATTTATTTTAATATTTAACTACATTATTATAAATTACAATAAAATAACTATAATATTGAAATGTTCATTATAGTTATAGGCAGTATCACTTCATAAGAATGGAATAGACTTATCAGCTGGCACTCTTTTTTAACAAAAAATATTGTGTATTAAGTTTTTTGATTTATATTGCAGTAATATATTAATAAATTTTTTATTTATTTATATGATTTGGGTTTCAATGTTTTATAAATAATTTTTATTATTATTATTTAACAATATTTAATAATTGTGTTACCTATTTGACAGTTAAAAAATGATCCAAGCAAGCAAACATTAATAGCAGGTGTGCCACTTGCTTTTATGGATAGTGCAATATGCTGGTGGATATCCTTTTTAATCATTTACATTAATAAGTAGATAAAATATAAATTTGTTAAATTGATATAAATTTTTAATTATGTAATTATAAAATATTGAATTATTTTTAATGTTGGAATCATTAATCCATTAAATTTAGTTCCCTACATAGAATATTGTTGTTTTGCTCAGATGGTAATTTTAGAAACTGCCATTATTTTACTATTAAAGATAATTTCTTAAATTTGAACTATTCAAATTTATTAAACTTCAATTGGATCCACTGCTGCATGAGATTGTAAATGTACAAAAAATGTGTGTGTATACATTCAATATTTAGATCTTAATGTTTTTGTCTCTAATTGTTAATTATTATTTATAAATTATAAAATTTGTGGACACTTAATTTGAAATATCTTTAACATTCAAACATATTCAGCAGTCTTGTACAGACAACAAGAACTTTGCAGTTGCGAAGAAATCTAGTCAAATTATCTTTATATAAACATTTTACAAATACACTTATTTTTGCTGTACTTGGTAAGTTAAAATTCTCAAGATTTTCTTTCATTAAATAAAATTATAAACAATAACTTATTTTTTCCCCTCATAGCTTCCATAGCATATATGATATGGTCTATTCATAGTCATAAATTCACATCTTGTATAACTGTAAGTATAATTTAGATTCATTAAAACTTTTTAGTTGTATTTGTAGAAATTTTTTTAAAAATTTCAAATTTAATTTAACAAATTTTTAATTCATAGTATGTAATATATTACAGTCAGCCCTCATTGCTACTGTCTGTACTTCCTACTTTTTTGACACCATTTCAAAATTAGAAAAAAATGTGCACTGCTGAAGAAGAGAAAATTCAGTATAACATGTAAATACGAGGGTTGTTCAGAAAGTTCGCGGCCTTGCCTCTATGTGGCACTGCGATCAATTAAGTTTTGGAGGGAATAATTCAGCCATCTTTGCTAAAGATACGATACCAATTTCCGCTTGATTTGTTGTAAAGTTTTGCCATGACAGTTTAGCAGATAGTCAGTGTGCATGTGCTTTGTTAAAAATAAAGAAGACGGAGACTCGTGCAATCACAAAATACCTGACGAAAAAAGGGTTGACCCCATCTCAAATCAAAGCTGACATGGATGAATTTTTGGGAGAGTCTGTTCCTTCATACACCACTGGAAAAATGGACAGCCTTTTTTAAATCTGGCAGAGAGAGTGTGGAAGATGGCCCTCGCAGCGGACGGCCATCAACTGCTGTCACTGAAGAAAATGTCTACAAAGTTCACGATTTGGTGTTAGCAGATTGCCGTTTGAAAACGCGTGAGGTAGCTGAGACAACAGGCATCTCTGTCGACCAAGTGCACCACATCCTAACCGAAAATTTGGGTATGACGAAGGTCTCAACAAGGTGGGTGCCGCATCTGCTGACTGCCGAGCAAAACCATGTTCGCACTTTGATGTCAAAGGACTGTTTGGATTTCTATCAGAAAAACCCACAGGATTTTTTGCGTCTATTTGTGACTACTGACGAAACATGGATCCATTACTACACTCCTGAAACAAAAGAACAGTTGAAGCAATGGAAACACCACAGTTCGCCACCATCAAAGAAGGCAAAGACAATTCCATCAGTGGGGAAAGTGATGGCCTCAGTTTTATGGGATGTTAAAGGCATCATCTTTATTGACTACCTAGAAAGAGAAGAGACCATCAATACTGTCTATTACTGTGAACTTTTGGAAAAACTGAAGAAAGAAATCGAAGAAAAGAGGCCACACTTGAAGAAGAAAAAGGTTCTGTTCCACCACGATAATGCACCTGCACATTCCGCCAGAATTACTGAACAAAAGATAAACGAACTTTGCTTCCAATTAGTTCCACATCCACCGTACTCACCTGATTTGGCCCCCAGTGACTTTGCTTTCCACATCCACCGTACTCACCTGATTTGGCCCCCAGTGACTTTGCTCTTTTTCCAAACCTAAAAACTCTTGGCTGGAAAGAGATTCCACTCAAATGACGAAATCATCACTGAAGTGAACGAGTATTTTACACGCCTTGACAAATTGACCTATTGTGATGGCATAAAAAAGCTAGAACATCGCTGGAATAAGTGCATTGCTAACAAAGGAGACTACATTGGAAAATAAAAAAAAGTTTTAACATTATTTTGTTTGTTGTTCTATTTGAGGTCACGAACTTTCTGAACAGCCCTCGTACAAATTAGTAAGAACTAACAATAATTTATTCAATGGGAAAAAAAAAAACAATTCACAAGACCCGACACAAAATAATGTAATTTATCTACTAATGCTTATAAACTATTCCCCTAGGACTCGACAATATCAACCACTTAAGACTATGTACAATGAATCTTGCAGAACTACAATCCTATCCGTCACCTCAATACTAGGAACCTTTCCCTTATCCAGGTTTCCTTGAAACCCCACTTATTGCTATTCTCCGGACTTTCTTCTTATCTCTCGCTCTGGAATTCACCTCAATCTCCCTCTGTCTGGAGCTCACCTTGATCGTCGTCTCTGGTCTTGCTCATTTTATGCTCTGAGATGATGTCACAATTACTTCTGGAACCACTTTCCCTCATTTACATACTTATGCATCTAACAGTAGATTTGCATTTCTTTTCCTGGGCAGCTTGTTTTCCGACATTTTTCACTAAATCCTTTTACAGTATTATTTTTGTTGTTCTGTACATGTTTGGGATGTTTATTTTATTAAGGTCTTAGCAAGTCCTCTACATTTTGTATGTGTGGGGTTCCCCCTTTTTGTGCGGAACTTCTTTTGAACTTCCGGCCTGGGAGCACAAGTGTGCGTTAGTCCTATGGCGCTTTGACTGGTCAGTGAGTTGTTTCTTTTTTTCCCCATTATTGAGGGTGAGTGCAGGGAACCTTCGTCCTAACTAAACATAAACCCCAAAATAAAATGGAATTAAAGAGAAATAAGAATAAAACAATAATACAGCTCGGACTTAGTTCCTCACAGCATGAGGAAGCAAAAAAGAAGGAAGTTGAAAACATTCAGAAAAATCTTAATAAAAGAACATCATCTTTCATGACTAATTATTTACAGAAGCCAAAGACTTATTAGGTGTTCATCATTTACTGGAAATATTACAATAATTACAGAAATTTTTAAAATGTATTTAACCATATAAGAACAAAAAGGAAAAAAAAAAAACAAGTTTTACTGCTAAATTGCTAAGTTTTACTTTCATGTTTTCACTGTATTTCGTCACTGTTGCACTCACTTTTTCAGGGGGAAAATGGCACCCTGAGGCTTGTATATTGGAAGTCTGTAGTTCCCATCTGTCTTCCAAATTCTTATACTTTTTCTACACCTACAGTTTCTGTTACAATTCCATACTTGGCATTAATTTAGCTGATCTAGATTACTATGGCATCTTCAAGATTCTCATGTTTAATAGATCTAAGATGCAATACCTTGAAGGAAGGCCCTTGCAGCCATTTGTGTTTTCTTCTGAGATGTGTCCAATACATCTGTGACATTGTTTTCTTCCACAAAAAAGAAAAGTATTCTGCTACTCTTTGGTGACTATAATTTGGAAATTTCTCTTTGTATAAGCAAATTTGATGTTTCTCTTTAATCAAAATGACTGCTTGCTTGTCCATATTGAGGAGACTCGCACAACAGTAGATTACAGCAAGTTAACAATATGGTAGAATAGAACACTATGGTAGAGCAATAAATTTCAAAATAGGAAGTGATGACACATTTCTACTTGCTGGGGATGAGTTCCATTGAGTGAGTTGACACAATAATGGGTTTTTTAGTGTATACCCATAGGAAAGATTTGTTGTTTATAAATATATGGCAATAAATGAGGATGGCACTCTAACGAAGAGTCATACTAATGACGGTTGACTGTGTTTAATAAGTATTGAAAGGTTAAGTAACAAAAAATAATTAAGAATTTTTTAATTTATAGATATGATTTTTATTTGTATAAATTATATATTTTAGGACTGGAANAAAATGCATTTTATTATGTAGGACTTGTTGAAAAAGCTGTTCTATATGCAAAATATCAATCTCTAAATGAATCGGGTGAATCAGGTATCTCATTTATTACTTTTTGTTATTTGAAAACTGTTTAATTGTAACATATTTAACACATTTTTTTTAAAATTAAAGTGAAAGGAGCAATTATTTTAGCTGAAATCATATCTTCATTGAAACGAACTCTTGCAAGAATGTTAGTGATTATTGTCAGTTTAGGCTTTGGCATTGTAAAGTGAGTACTTTCACCTGTAATATTAATTTATTATGAAGTATAATTTTAAATTTGTTCTAATTAATGTAAGTTTAATTAAATAAAAATTAATTTCAATAAAATAAAGGTTAATATAATTTATTGATATAATACCTACATTAGTGTTCTTTTGACTTATATTTACAGATTGACTAGTTTATTCTTAGCTTAGATATTTATCATCAAGGATCATAATGTTATATTGGATGTTTAGAATAATTTAATCAAGTGTTTTTTTACATAAAAGTCAAAAGGAACATGTAATTAATATGATTCTGATGTTCTTGCTACCTTGAAATGATTATACACAAAATTTGTTTAATATAGTTTGTTGAGATTTTGTTAATTTTTTGACTTTGACTTTGACAAAAAGTTATGCATCAAGAAGGTGATGTTAGAATTGAATTTTAAAAATTTAGATATTTTAATTTTTCATTGTTTTTTTAATTTGCTGCTTTAGCTATTTTTGAATCTAAGCTATTTAATATAATTCAGTTCAATAAAAATAAATGGTATAATCTGGTGTTATATGCATAAATCTGTGTACTAGCCAAATGTACAACACACCATAAAAATATTGAATGTATGCATATTCAGTTTTTTCTGGTACATATTTTAACATAATCTAGACCTCATGTAATAATTAGATGAAATATCTAATAATGATTTTAATTTCATTACTTATATAAAGCTTAAAAAGTATTAGAAGATTCTGATAAATTCTGTAATAGACTTATTAAAAAGCTTTGAAAATGTCCAAGAATGTAGAAAGAGAGGTTCAACTTTTGTTTCAGATATTAACTGAAAGGAAAATTTACGAAAATGGATATATTAGGAAAGTAAAGTAACTCTGCTCTGTTTTGAGAGAGAGAGAATTTATTTTAATGATTTAAAAAGAGGAGAAGTTATCAAAAATCTTTTTTATTTTGAATGAAAGATTAAATGTAGTGTATCCATTAACTTATTTTTTGTCATTTTATGTCCTGCAAAAGATGATAATGAAACATTAAAAGTTTTTCTCCAATAATATAAGATTCTATTTTATTTCCTTTTTTTATAATTATAATTATAAATTTTTAATTCTATTAAAATCTGAAATATTTGGCATAATTTATTTTCTATATTGTGTATAGGAAGATGATTTGAAATGGGTTGAAGAAAATATTCCATCTTTGACAGAATCGTAAGTATTCTTTTTAATATTTTATAATAATGTTTGTATGAAATAATTAATTTTTTAAATACCAAATGTAAATATATAATTTTAATTATCAAAATACAAAAATAATAACAAATTTATAAAATAAAATTGAAAACAATATTTAAAAAAGTAAATTAAAGATATGTAAAAAATATCTATTAAAGAAAATAAAAATTATAAAAAAGATAAAAAATGTTACATAAAATTGCAGTTGTCTTGTTTGGCTACAAATATGCATTTTTAAAAATGTTACTGTATTGATTTGACATTGTTGGCTTAACTCTTTTACTATAAACTTTTTAAAACTGCATTTCACTTTCTGTTCAAGCAACACTCAGTCTTAGAGATGGAAACATTTTTAGTTTAGACGAATTTGAAGATCGTTGTTACAATAAAACAATTTATTTTTATTTAAATGTGAGTTGAAAAATATTCTTAACTGGTTATATTTAATGGTACATTTAAAAACTTTTACCAGTAACACTTTTAATTATGAAAAAGTTTTCAGTTATTCTTGCAGCTATCATCAGGATATCACTACATAATGTTCTATATAGCTGTAAGAATAGCTGAAAACTTTTCATAATTAAAAGTGTTACTGGTATAAGTTTTTAAATGTACTGTACCATTAAATATGAGTCTTCATAGAACACTAAAAAGATTGATATTTAAATTCTATCAGGTTTTATAAATAAAATTATTTTAGAATGTTTTCAAATTACATTGATTGTAATTTTAAGTATCATGTTTTTAGTCATTATAAATTCCAGATTTCAAAAACATTCAATAAAATTGTTTATTCTCAAATCTGAAAAACTTCTATAAACTTAGATAACCGGATATGTATTACAGCATAACAATGTATATTCTTAAGAGAGATTGAAAATCTATATCAATATTTTTATAATATACATGCATTATGAGTATGATAATATGACAAATTCTTTCCTTTACAATAAAATTTTTGAATTACAATTAAGTAGAATTTTTGTTGTTAAAATTATACAGGGTGTTTATAAATGAATGGTGCAGTTTTAAAAATTAATAATAAATCTATTTATTACCTTATATGGGCAAACCTTACAGCATAAGCAGTGGCAACTGTCCAAGTTTTTTATGCATTAATCACAGTTTTTCAATATGTGCACCCACAGTCACACGACACACATCTACACAGTAATCAAATTCTTCCCATATGTGATGTAGCATGTCCTTCGTGATGGTCTGCAGTGCATGCTTTATCCGATCACACAATTCCTCAAGGGCCACAAGCATTGACATAAACTAAGGTCATAAACATAAACAGGTACATAAACTAGGTCTTTCCCCACAAAAAGAAATCGCTGAGTGTTAAATCTGGCGAACAGGGTGGCCAGGGGAGCAGGTTGTTGTCTGCTGTTGCACCACATCCAATCCAGCATTGGTGAAGAACATGATTAAGGAAGCTCATGTACATTCCTGTGAACTTGGACAGTTGCCGCTGCTTATGCTGTAAGGTTTGCTCGTATAAGGTGATAAATAGATTTATTATTAATTTTTAAAACCACACCATTCATTTATAAACATCCTGTATAGAGCAAAAACAAGATTAATTACAATGGCATTATCATTTGAAATACCAAATGAGAAATAACTGATTATGGAACACACAAATATTTAAAAGTTTGTTTTTTTTAAATTATGTAAAAACAAAGACTTTTAAATAGCATCAACCAATCACCATCAATCCTTAAGTAATAGATTTTTATAAAATAAATAACAATGAGATAAAGTTGGTCTCTTTTTTGTGTTAATTCATTTCAGTTTTTAATGTATTACATAATTATGCCAATAAATATTTAATAAGAGTAGAGGAAGAAATTTAACAGTTTATATAATAAAGGAAAATTTTTTAATGAATTAATATTGTGGAAAAACTGATCTGCATTTTTACAAAAAGTATCTGTAATAGTGATAATAGAATTCTGAATATTTAGAATTATTTAATATTTCATTAACTTTCTTGTTATATCTATATAATAATATATTTTTTTTCCCCTCTCTTAGAACTCTCCCAAGTTTTATGGATTCTGATGAAGTAAGAAATTTATCTATTTTCAAAATTTTATTTAATGTCCTGTTTGCTTATATTTAAGTTGTACTGAAAATTTCTACTTGATAATTTTATTAAATTTATTTTAATAATTTAAAGAAATACAACTTAATTTAATAAAAAGAAGTTGTGTTTCTGATTATGTAATTGATAATTTGGAAAGAATTTTTATATAAATATTTATATGAATTAATGTTAACCAATTATCTTAGATGGAATTGGATATAAAGATGCATTTATATATTATTTTTCTGTTGGTTTGTTGTAGGAAAAACTTTTTTCTTTTCTAACTCTAAAAAATATTGTGCATTCTTGAATTTCCTTATCCAGCATTTCTTTATGCTTATTGCAGAACTATGGAAGTTACTTTTGTTTTACATTGTTTACATAATCAAATAAAGTATCATTGAAAAATATTAGAAATAGAGATTTTTCATACAGATTATAATTACATTAAAATGATATAAATGACAGCAGTTGAATCTAAGAAAACAGAACAAAGTTTAGATAATTTGTTTTTAATTAGATGATTTTAACATATTCAGTTTTTTCTCTTTCAGTATGTTGATGACACATTGATGCATCATAGATTATATAAGTAAACCATTGAATGTAATCTGCTTGTTCTGGTTCAAATTCTGCTCTTTTTTTCTTTTTATGAATAATTTAAATATTTTATAATCATATGACCTACTGGAATTTTATTAAGGCTATCCATTCTATCCTATCTGTTTAGTTGTGTCCGACTCTCTGTCACTCTATGGATCAAAGCTTTCCATGTCTCTCTATCTTGCACAGCATGCTTCAGTTCCATTGTAGATAATTCAGTGTCACTTAACTTCTGCTTATCATGCAGATGAATTGGCAATTACACTGTTTGATCTTTATTTCTATACCAATAAATTTAAATAAAACCATACTGGTCTCTTGCAGCTGGGGATGACTATGTATCTACAGCCCTCAGACTTGGAGCTCATTTAAAAAATCTTGACTGGGCTGTAAAATTGAGCAGTAGCAGGAACAGCCTATTTACTTAGTGAAAGGAACAAATTGTTTGATGAATCTGTAACAGGGTCACTGTGTATTACTCTTGAACTTTATAAAACATCCAGAACCATGTACTGTGCATTGCCTGGTCTATATAAAAGATCTGTAAGATTTTACACTATTTGTGTGTGTGTATGTATGAAATTACTATAAAACAAAGTCCAACATAAAAATACAGTAATATCATAATTACTACTATAATTAGAGTTAGTTTTGTTGGTAATTTGTTAGTATAGATTATTCAAAATTACAATTTTTGTCATATGAAATTTTTATAAACTTTATAAAAATATATATATTTATAAATAAATACAGATTTAAAAATAAACAAAAAATATTACTTGAGTATTTAAGAATGTTGAGATTTTATACTTCAGTTGAAATATTTTTATTCATTTAATTTTTTGGGAAAAAGTACAACTTAAGACAAATAGGACATTTATTATTATCATCATCATTATTATTATTCCTAATGGCATTTTTATTTTGTAATTGTTATTTTAGGAAATTATGACTGCGAAGTTTGAGCGAAACAAGATGGAATAATTTAAAATTTTACTTCTGTTGTATCTAATATATATTTTCAGTTATAAATAATAACATTAAAATGTTTTATAACAGTTGCATTTCTTTTTTTTATTTCTTTTGTAACTGTTTGTACAGAATATAGTGATAAGATAAAATTACCAAGGATGCACTAATGCAGTACTGCATAGATGCTGCCATATCTGTAATATGTTGCACAAGAGAACATTTTTGTTTGGCACTCCATGTCAAGTTTCAGATTTCTTTGTATGAAGATATAGCATTTAAACACTTCTTTTTATATACATTGTATATATTTTTGTGCTTCTTTTGGTGTTTGGAGTATTCTTAATCTTAATATATACATATATATATAATGATAACCATAGAGTTTTATAAGGAAAAACCAAAAAACCCAAGTTGTAAACTTTGTTTAAAATAAACTATTTATTCATATATTCCGTTGTTTGAAATGTAATTCTTACAGCTTTGAGAAAAAAAAATCCAATAGTATTTTTAATACTTTCTTTGTAGATCTATTTTATAAATAATTATTACATACATTATATGTATACAAATACATTCTATATACATATTGTATATGTATGCAAACTGGTGACTCTAGACCACCAGTAAATATAATTGTAAAAATATTAAATGCTTCAAATTAAATGTTTTCTGTAAACATTGTAAAGATTCCATTTATAATGTTTTAAATGTAAAATTTGAAATTTATTATGTTAAATACAAATATTTATACTAGTTTAAATCTATCTGAAATATATAATTTATTTTTTAAAATATTTTAGATTTGTTTCTGTGAAATTAATTTTTCCCACAATTAATTAATCCTGTTTGATATGTATGTTGAATAAATTGAAAAAATAATAATTTAAAGATAGTTATTATAAATACATAAATTGAACTTCCGTTGTATACCTGTTGATAGGTGCTTCTTGTCCTTAATTACTTCATACCTTTGTGGACTTTGTTAAGTTTCAGAGTCGACAAAAGTATAATATACATAAATTGAATTTATATTAACCTAATAATTAAATTATAATTTGAATCGGTTAAGTATAAATTATTTTTTAATTATATGTCATTGAAGTATTTTTAAAACATTTAATCATTATTTAAATGTGACTGAATGGTCTAAAACAGTAGAAGATTGGTAGAAGATTAAAAATATTAAATATTTGTGTAAATTTACAGTACATATAGCAAGATTATTATACAGTAAAGCATAATATACATAAATTTATGAATTAAAGATGGAAAGTATTTTTATATGACTTTTAATAAGATTATAACGATATAAATGCTCGTTTCCTTGATAATTGGAGGAAATGATGAGTACAGTTAGTCTATTGTTGCCTCGATTATGCCATCCCTAATGATCTCTTCCATTTATCATTTCTTCAGTTGGAGAATTGCTGTTTGTTCTATAGTTTTTCATTTTGAGAGATTTGTTGAATTTATTCTACCAGACATTGTTTATAAGCTATATATGTATACCAAGTGTGCCAATCAGATTTTCTGCTACCAGCTTTCTGCTAGATTTCCCAATGTTTGGTATAACAAGAGGTAATTTTTCAATCAGTCTTTTGTCAATAATTTCCACAAATAATCCATCTAATCAGAAATTTAATACTTTGTGTCCTCCTTCTGTAGATTTAGACGTAGCCAATCATATCTATGGAAGTTCTGCAATCTTTCCAGGATTAGGACAAAAAATGAGTACATATTCGAGAAATGCTTTTAAACCTTGATGGTTGATTATTTCAGTAAAAGAAGAAATCGTCAGAACAACTTTTTGTGTAGCTTGTATTTCTGCTAGCTTATTAACCCCTTGAAAATCAATTTGTACTTTAAAATAGGCAGAGAAAGCAAAACAGGGTTAACAAATTATCAATGATTACAAATTAATTAGTAATTGTGTTTGTGTAAATTTCAGTAAAATCATTCTCTGCCCTTGAAAGTAACATATCTGTTATGCTAAACAATAGTTTATATTATCGGGTGATCGTAATTAACTCTTGCATTGCTAAAATCTTCGTATAGCATCATGTGTCTTAAACAAATAAAATTGTTGCTCACAGCATCAAAATTGCCAAAATGGTGAGTTTTGATACTTTTTTCTTTTATGGAAACACGTTTCGACTTCCTGAGATGTCACTATGCCATACTTAGCAATCCAAATGCAACCAAATTTTTCTCTAGACAGCGTTGTATAGAGATACTTTAATTGCGATCATCCAGTGTGTATGTATGAGTATGATGCCATATATTTTACTCTTATAGGAGCGTTGTTATTTTTTTTTATAAGTCCTGACATTCCTCCCTCGTGATTACGCAGGGTACAATGCATTGTTGTTTTTTTTATAAAGCAATAATGATTGTAAACGTAATGACCATAGAAGCAGTAAACTGCTATTTCTGGGCTTTAAATAGTGTTGCCACCTTTTCGAAATCGCTGACCCGGACGGCAGGTGAGGTTTGTTCCAACAGAAGTTCCTGACGCATGCGTAATATCATTTTGCAATGCGAAGAATAACGTGCAGTGCATGCCGGTTCTAAATCAGTTACAGTTAGGGACTAGGAAGACTTGGGTAAGAGTAACGTAAGTAACCTAAATTAAGAAACAACAACTACAGATGACTTAGCTCTATTGGATATTGGAGATGTGTACGAATACGAATCCTACAAGCAAAAATAAAAGTTGACAGGTCGCGCACGATATTCCCGGACAAAATAAATACTGGTAACACTAGCTTTAAACGGTAATACTTTTCCGTATATGTTTGGAAAAAAACCTAATTAAATGTAGACAATCTACTGAATACTTTCCTTTTAAAAATATCTGGTCAATTATTTTAATATTTGTGAGATCCGCGATTTTATACATTTGTCGGAAATTTGAATTTGTCGAGAAATTTGTAAACAAATTCGACAGCAAAATAATCCCGGGAAGAATTAGAGCAGCAGTTACAATTAGTCATAACAATCCGATGGGAAAATTAACTCATAAGTGTCAACTTAGCACCATAACCGTCGACATTGAACGAACACGTGACACTTTTTCTCACGACGACGATAAAGAGAAAGTCACTGGGGAGACTTTGTCCGCTCGGTTGCGTTAAACGCCTTTTCATTCTCCAGACGGCTACATGATACACCGAATTGCCCTCGCTGCACGGAGACGGAGACAACCGTCCACTTCTGGCTACAATGCACTCAGTACGCAGCAGCCCGCCACGATCTGGGAGAGGCATTGCAAGTAAATTTGAACAATGATAGTACGCTGCTTTCTATGTATGATCCATCGAATAAGATCGCTCCCCGCCATCTCGTGTTGGAACTAGAAACCTGCGTCACTCGAACCGGACGTTTCAAGTGACCAATGAGTGAGTGCTCGTCGGAGAAAGAGCCTAAGTAGTGCTAGACTGTCCATATAAATATAGAAGAAGCTCGGGGGAGCGATTAATCAGGACGTCAATCGGTAGTTGTGTGTTCTAAACAACAAATTTGAAGTAAAAGTTTGGATAGAATAAACGAAATTAATTGTGAGATCTTACAAAGGTTATCCCTATCCTGACCACCCCGGCCGCCCCATAATGGGTTTGTCAAAAGAGGCACTCTTAGTACCCACAGGGCGGGGAGAGTTAAGAAATGCCCTTTATCCTGAATCCGCGCCTGCTGAAGAGGAGGAGGTCGTGTTGGGATGACTCGGAAATTTAGCCTATACCATCGTCGAAAAGTTGGTCTTCGTGGCGTAAACCTTCATTGAATTGAACATAATGTGAACATTAACTATAAAATTGATGAAAATATAATTTAAAATATTTACTATTAATGTATTCTTTAAATATCTACAATAAAACAAATGATTTTTTTAAGGGAATCAAAAAAGATTATTTGATTTTTATTTGGGAAATGATGAAAACTCTCATAAATTGATAAGATAATTTTTGTTATCGATCTATGTGAGTATTACCTTTGTTCTACGATGCTTTTTACGAGAATTTCATAAGACACACACACTAAATTCGTATTTACATACGCACAAATGTTTTAATTTAGATAATGTAAATAGTTTTTAAGATAGTCACTGTCTACAAGAACATATGTAAATTACTACTATGAATACAAAGAGTATAGGCAATGGTAAGAAGAATGGCCAAAATTTGTATATAGTGGAATAATTAAGTCCCCTCTCAAATTTGCGAGGCCCCGAATCGGGAGGTGATCTCGGAGGAAAAGGGGGGTATTGCGGCGGTATTCTTGGTGGAGGAAAAGGTGGATACTTTGGCGGTATTCTCGGTGAAGGAGGCTGTCTTGGAGGAAACCGAGGTGGTTGTGTTGGAAATGACCGCGTTGCTCTCGGACGTGTATACCATGGTCGAAAAGTTGGTCTTCGTGGTGTAAACCTTGGTCGAATTGTCTGAAATCTTGTTGGACTCCGTGTCAATCTGGGCGGAAAACGCGTTCCTTCGGGTGCGTCTCTCGAACACGTTCCATTGCTTTTCAAAAATAATAATAATTTATATATTCTAAAACAAAAAATAAACATTAAATTATACTTACCTTCTGCATTTTCCTCTATTGTAATTGCAAGGCGTTCCGTGAAGCTTAAAATATCTTCCATTTGAAACTCTGATGTTTAAATCTAGAACGGAATGGCATGTGTTGGAAGTATCCAAACAGCAAACATGGCATTCTTTCCCGCTCAAAACGGAACATTCGCAACTTCGCAAGTTGTTATCGTTACAAACGTCGCTTCTGCAAATGCCAGAAAAGCACGTACGAATAGATTCCATACATGGTGTACCATCAGGTACAAATGTTTCTGGACAAAATGACGAAAGTCCATCACACATAGAAATTCTTTTCCGGCAAGGAAGATTGATAAAACATAGAGTTTGGGCTTCCGCCGAAACAATTTTACAATCATCTGTACAGCACTGTCCTTCACGAGGACTACACTGGACTCCTTGGCTTTTCTTAATGGTACACTCATCGTAGGATCCCGGTGGAACGCAACATTTATCTAAAGTGTTACATTGCTGGCCGCAGTCGCACTCTTCTCCGTCTTCTGTTATCGAATTTCCGCAGACAGCAGTTGTTTGCTTTTTTAAACAACGACCTGTGCCAAAACAAAAAACAATTTAGCGACAACTTAAAATATAAACAATCGTTATTATTATTCTAACCGTTGGCGATGATAACGTCCTTCATCATTTTTCGGCTGCACGACGAAAATACCCAGTTGTTGCCTTTATCACCATGTGACACAGATGGATACATGATATAATTGCCAATGGAAATTCCAGGAGAACAATTTGGATCATCTACTGGATCATGTTTGCTTCCAAAACTGTGCCCAATTTCGTGGGTTGTAGCTAGAGTCACTTTCACCGCAGGTAAAACTTGACCCGAGTTACGTATCGTGATAAGATTATTATTGACGCTTTGACCACGTAAACGTGAACAGATTCCTCCAACTCCTCTAGGAGATGGCACAAAAGCTTTCCCAATCACCCCACCATCGAAGTCTCTGTGAGCGAAAGCAACTAACAGACATTGCCGTTGATTGTACGAGGTCAACGATCTAAAAACGGTATCACTATTGCTGCTGTTTTCTTTCAGTGGATAACCCGGTTGATTTTTATCTTCGAAAATGGAGATTTTATTTACAAGGAATCCTATGCCATCTGCTACTAAATCATTGTCCACATCGGTAAAACGAAATATTTTATCGGCTAATTTCACATGATATATCATTGCAGCGATGATACTTGAGCGATCGTTTTTCTTATAGGAAGAAAAGGTATGATCCGCAAGAAGTTCTAATTCACATTTTAAATTTCTTCTGAAAAATAAAAACATAATAGGATCAGTTTTTTCCGCCCTGTGGTCACTAAGAGGACCTTTGTAGCAATATTGTTTTGTTGTTCGCCCGACCTACAGTAAGGCGGCTGGGTAGAGAGGGACCAGACATAGCCGGATGAGCTACCTTCTGAAAAATTCTGTTATTTCGACCCGTCCGGATCCGATCGCGAATGCCTCAGGTCGGTAAACTGCTATCTTAACCGTTCAACCATCCGGCCGTCGTTGGTTCCACGTTGGAAAGCTCAATAACTTTTTGTATGTAACTGTCCCAGGATATCTCGTGTCTCGTCGCTCTGGTCGCCCCAATTGTGAGCCTGACCGGACCCATAATGGGCATGGAAAAAGAACTCACAGGGCAGAAAGAGTTACAATAGAAANATTATCTCCACAGAATGTGGGTGTGTGGTCACTCTTAGCTTCATTTCTCCCCATAGACCTTACTGGCATGGGTGTCCCTACCAGGAGCTTGTGCTCCAGCCTGCATTGCCCTATGGATCTGTAAAATTACTGGGCTCTCCCACCACGACCAGGTGGTGACCACGGGAGAGTTATTATTATTATTATTATTATTATTATTATTTAAACTTGTACTGAAGCAGTGCATACATGCTATCAGATCAGAATCTCATTTGTTCGAACATTTGTACATCTGCTTCCGCCATTATTTTTGAACTTGTGGTGGACCTCGAGGAAAGCTTGAAGCGACTTAAGCTTCTTTGAGAAAGCGATTTTAAGCTGAGCCAGTTGTTGGTAGTTAAACCTGTTTAAAGTTAAGTCAGTTCCATTCATATTTCATACCTTAAGTTGGCTTAGTCATTTAAGCTGGCTTAAAATATACAGTGTGAATAGGGTATTACTCTCTGGATGTTTTGCCTTTTGATTTTTTCCTCTTTCTGAAAGTGAAAAAACAGCATGAATGGTATATCCAAAAATGACTTCACAGAGGTTTATGAAAACTGGGTTACAAGATAAGTGTATTGAGTTTGATGGGAAATATTTAGAAGCATAAATAAAGCAGTTTTTGTTTGTGGTCATTATATTGCCTATATTGCTCAAAACTTTTTGAATGACCTTCCTATATAAAGCAGTAATAAATAAAATGTGTTGACATCTCTCACTCACTGGCATAAAATATTTTTCATAGAAAGACTTCTTACAGAAAAATAAAATGTAGTCAAAAGGGAATTAGAGTACATTACAAAAAAATATGAAATGTATATATATTTTTTCAATAAATATATCAAAACCTAGCATATGTTTACTAATAACTAGAGATTGGACATTTTGGCCCTTAAAAGTGACTGAATTATTAATTTAACATATGTATTCAAAACAAAAATGCAGGTATTGAGATTGATGCAAGCACAAAAGTAGATACACAGTTTTCTTTACATTTTTATTCACTGTTTTCCATAGCTAGCTTTACAATATATTACAGGCACTTTTTCCAAATTTTCAATAGAAAAGTTGCAACGTTTGTCACTGAGAATTAATTTATATGCAGAGAAAGAGCATTCCACATCTACTGAAGATAGCAGACAGTATTTCAACCTTGGAAGAAGAAGAATTGGGAATTCACTTTCAGTTTTGCTCTTCTTTCCTATCAAAATATCAGTGACAACAAACAAGCGCTTTAATCCAGTATTCTTTTGAAGCACTGCATCCAACTTTTTCCTCACTTTTTTCTGCAGCAGTGCCTGGTGCATCACAATGTTTCTTTTTTGCTTTGTTGAGGAGATCAATTTATTCATATGTAGGTTTACCACTACTTTCAAGAGCAGTAATAGTATCTGCAATGAATGAGACTTGATGTACACCAAGTCATTCTGAACATAAATGTCATTCAAAATTTTCTTGGCTTTACTTACACAACTGCATCGTTTGCTAAAGTGGCCAGAAGTTTTTGATATCAGAGGAATGTTCACTATAGTAATTAACAGCCTTCAGCCAAGTTCCCCAGGGGGTGAGCAACATCTGGGAGCATCTGCCAAAAAGCTTGCACTCTTGACACAGCTTTAATGGACACTTTCTTGACAGAGGAGATGAGTTTATTCACCTTCTCATATTCTATTCTGATTTGCTCTGCTATTCGATTGAGACCATGGGCCAAGCATGTCACATGGACAAGAGCAGGGGAAAAAACCTTGTGTTTTCATGGCAGGAACCATGTATGAAGCAGCATTTGTTATGGCTACAAGAACTTTGTCTTCATCAGGATTAATCATCATTAGTCCATTTTTCACAAAATGAGCCACTGTTTCATGGTTAGTTTTAGTTAACTATTTGGTGTAGATCAGGTGAGCTCTGGAAGGTCCATTGGGATCAAGCTTTCCAGCAATCAAGTTGGTAACGTAGCATCCAAGACTGTCCGTTGCTTCATCAACTGAGAACCACAAGTAAGAGTCCTTAAGATAATCTCTTATCTTGGAAATAACTTCTTCATACGCAGGTTGCACATAATTCTTTCGAAGTGTCAACTCTGAAGGGATTTTCTGGTGGCAGTACTTTTCCAAGAAATTTCTGAAATGAGTGTTCTCCAAAGCTTTAAATGGAATATTTGCTGTTATAATAGCATGACAAATCAGCACTAAACTTGTTTTTCTTTAATGAAGTCTCTGAAGTCTGAGTCAAGAGAATCTGTTTCATTTTATATTTTCCTTCAACATTTGATTTATGCAGAGCACCTTGTACATGTTNTAAGTATAAATTATTTTTTAATTATATGTCATTGAAGTATTTTTAAAACATTTAATCATTATTTAAATGTGACTGAATGGTCTAAAACAGTAGAAGATTGGTAGAAGATTAAAAATATTAAATATTTGTGTAAATTTACAGTACATATAGCAAGATTATTATACAGTAAAGCATAATATACATAAATTTATGAATTAAAGATGGAAAGTATTTTTATATGACTTTTAATAAGATTATAACGATATAAATGCTCGTTTCCTTGATAATTGGAGGAAATGATGAGTACAGTTAGTCTATTGTTGCCTCGATTATGCCATCCCTAATGATCTCTTCCATTTATCATTTCTTCAGTTGGAGAATTGCTGTTTGTTCTATAGTTTTTCATTTTGAGAGATTTGTTGAATTTATTCTACCAGACATTGTTTATAAGCTATATATGTATACCAAGTGTGCCAATCAGATTTTCTGCTACCAGCTTTCTGCTAGATTTCCCAATGTTTGGTATAACAAGAGGTAATTTTTCAATCAGTCTTTTGTCAATAATTTCCACAAATAATCCATCTAATCAGAAATTTAATACTTTGTGTCCTCCTTCTGTAGATTTAGACGTAGCCAATCATATCTATGGAAGTTCTGCAATCTTTCCAGGATTAGGACAAAAAATGAGTACATATTCGAGAAATGCTTTTAAACCTTGATGGTTGATTATTTCAGTAAAAGAAGAAATCGTCAGAACAACTTTTTGTGTAGCTTGTATTTCTGCTAGCTTATTAACCCCTTGAAAATCAATTTGTACTTTAAAATAGGCAGAGAAAGCAAAACAGGGTTAACAAATTATCAATGATTACAAATTAATTAGTAATTGTGTTTGTGTAAATTTCAGTAAAATCATTCTCTGCCCTTGAAAGTAACATATCTGTTATGCTAAACAATAGTTTATATTATCGGGTGATCGTAATTAACTCTTGCATTGCTAAAATCTTCGTATAGCATCATGTGTCTTAAACAAATAAAATTGTTGCTCACAGCATCAAAATTGCCAAAATGGTGAGTTTTGATACTTTTTTCTTTTATGGAAACACGTTTCGACTTCCTGAGATGTCACTATGCCATACTTAGCAATCCAAATGCAACCAAATTTTTCTCTAGACAGCGTTGTATAGAGATACTTTAATTGCGATCATCCAGTGTGTATGTATGAGTATGATGCCATATATTTTACTCTTATAGGAGCGTTGTTATTTTTTTTTATAAGTCCTGACATTCCTCCCTCGTGATTACGCAGGGTACAATGCATTGTTGTTTTTTTTATAAAGCAATAATGATTGTAAACGTAATGACCATAGAAGCAGTAAACTGCTATTTCTGGGCTTTAAATAGTGTTGCCACCTTTTCGAAATCGCTGACCCGGACGGCAGGTGAGGTTTGTTCCAACAGAAGTTCCTGACGCATGCGTAATATCATTTTGCAATGCGAAGAATAACGTGCAGTGCATGCCGGTTCTAAATCAGTTACAGTTAGGGACTAGGAAGACTTGGGTAAGAGTAACGTAAGTAACCTAAATTAAGAAACAACAACTACAGATGACTTAGCTCTATTGGATATTGGAGATGTGTACGAATACGAATCCTACAAGCAAAAATAAAAGTTGACAGGTCGCGCACGATATTCCCGGACAAAATTAATACTGGTAACACTAGCTTTAAACGGTAATACTTTTCCGTATATGTTTGGAAAAAAACCTAATTAAATGTAGACAATCTACTGAATACTTTCCTTTTAAAAATATCTGGTCAATTATTTTAATATTTGTGAGATCCGCGATTTTATACATTTGTCGGAAATTTGAATTTGTCGAGAAATTTGTAAACAAATTCGACAGCAAAATAATCCCGGGAAGAATTAGAGCAGCAGTTACAATTAGTCATAACAATCCGATGGGAAAATTAACTCATAAGTGTCAACTTAGCACCATAACCGTCGACATTGAACGAACACGTGACACTTTTTCTCACGACGACGATAAAGAGAAAGTCACTGGGGAGACTTTGTCCGCTCGGTTGCGTTAAACGCCTTTTCATTCTCCAGACGGCTACATGATACACCGAATTGCCCTCGCTGCACGGAGACGGAGACAACCGTCCACTTCTGGCTACAATGCACTCAGTACGCAGCAGCCCGCCACGATCTGGGAGAGGCATTGCAAGTAAATTTGAACAATGATAGTACGCTGCTTTCTATGTATGATCCATCGAATAAGATCGCTCCCCGCCATCTCGTGTTGGAACTAGAAACCTGCGTCACTCGAACCGGACGTTTCAAGTGACCAATGAGTGAGTGCTCGTCGGAGAAAGAGCCTAAGTAGTGCTAGACTGTCCATATAAATATAGAAGAAGCTCGGGGGAGCGATTAATCAGGACGTCAATCGGTAGTTGTGTGTTCTAAACAACAAATTTGAAGTAAAAGTTTGGATAGAATAAACGAAATTAATTGTGAGATCTTACAAAGGTTATCCCTATCCTGACCACCCCGGCCGCCCCATAATGGGTTTGTCAAAAGAGGCACTCTTAGTACCCACAGGGCGGGGAGAGTTAAGAAATGCCCTTTATCCTGAATCCGCGCCTGCTGAAGAGGAGGAGGTCGTGTTGGGATGACTCGGAAATTTAGCCTATACCATCGTCGAAAAGTTGGTCTTCGTGGCGTAAACCTTCATTGAATTGAACATAATGTGAACATTAACTATAAAATTGATGAAAATATAATTTAAAATATTTACTATTAATGTATTCTTTAAATATCTACAATAAAACAAATGATTTTTTTAAGGGAATCAAAAAAGATTATTTGATTTTTATTTGGGAAATGATGAAAACTCTCATAAATTGATAAGATAATTTTTGTTATCGATCTATGTGAGTATTACCTTTGTTCTACGATGCTTTTTACGAGAATTTCATAAGACACACACACTAAATTCGTATTTACATACGCACAAATGTTTTAATTTAGATAATGTAAATAGTTTTTAAGATAGTCACTGTCTACAAGAACATATGTAAATTACTACTATGAATACAAAGAGTATAGGCAATGGTAAGAAGAATGGCCAAAATTTGTATATAGTGGAATAATTAAGTCCCCTCTCAAATTTGCGAGGCCCCGAATCGGGAGGTGATCTCGGAGGAAAAGGGGGGTATTGCGGCGGTATTCTTGGTGGAGGAAAAGGTGGATACTTTGGCGGTATTCTCGGTGAAGGAGGCTGTCTTGGAGGAAACCGAGGTGGTTGTGTTGGAAATGACCGCGTTGCTCTCGGACGTGTATACCATGGTCGAAAAGTTGGTCTTCGTGGTGTAAACCTTGGTCGAATTGTCTGAAATCTTGTTGGACTCCGTGTCAATCTGGGCGGAAAACGCGTTCCTTCGGGTGCGTCTCTCGAACACGTTCCATTGCTTTTCAAAAATAATAATAATTTATATATTCTAAAACAAAAAATAAACATTAAATTATACTTACCTTCTGCATTTTCCTCTATTGTAATTGCAAGGCGTTCCGTGAAGCTTAAAATATCTTCCATTTGAAACTCTGATGTTTAAATCTAGAACGGAATGGCATGTGTTGGAAGTATCCAAACAGCAAACATGGCATTCTTTCCCGCTCAAAACGGAACATTCGCAACTTCGCAAGTTGTTATCGTTACAAACGTCGCTTCTGCAAATGCCAGAAAAGCACGTACGAATAGATTCCATACATGGTGTACCATCAGGTACAAATGTTTCTGGACAAAATGACGAAAGTCCATCACACATAGAAATTCTTTTCCGGCAAGGAAGATTGATAAAACATAGAGTTTGGGCTTCCGCCGAAACAATTTTACAATCATCTGTACAGCACTGTCCTTCACGAGGACTACACTGGACTCCTTGGCTTTTCTTAATGGTACACTCATCGTAGGATCCCGGTGGAACGCAACATTTATCTAAAGTGTTACATTGCTGGCCGCAGTCGCACTCTTCTCCGTCTTCTGTTATCGAATTTCCGCAGACAGCAGTTGTTTGCTTTTTTAAACAACGACCTGTGCCAAAACAAAAAACAATTTAGCGACAACTTAAAATATAAACAATCGTTATTATTATTCTAACCGTTGGCGATGATAACGTCCTTCATCATTTTTCGGCTGCACGACGAAAATACCCAGTTGTTGCCTTTATCACCATGTGACACAGATGGATACATGATATAATTGCCAATGGAAATTCCAGGAGAACAATTTGGATCATCTACTGGATCATGTTTGCTTCCAAAACTGTGCCCAATTTCGTGGGTTGTAGCTAGAGTCACTTTCACCGCAGGTAAAACTTGACCCGAGTTACGTATCGTGATAAGATTATTATTGACGCTTTGACCACGTAAACGTGAACAGATTCCTCCAACTCCTCTAGGAGATGGCACAAAAGCTTTCCCAATCACCCCACCATCGAAGTCTCTGTGAGCGAAAGCAACTAACAGACATTGCCGTTGATTGTACGAGGTCAACGATCTAAAAACGGTATCACTATTGCTGCTGTTTTCTTTCAGTGGATAACCCGGTTGATTTTTATCTTCGAAAATGGAGATTTTATTTACAAGGAATCCTATGCCATCTGCTACTAAATCATTGTCCACATCGGTAAAACGAAATATTTTATCGGCTAATTTCACATGATATATCATTGCAGCGATGATACTTGAGCGATCGTTTTTCTTATAGGAAGAAAAGGTATGATCCGCAAGAAGTTCTAATTCACATTTTAAATTTCTTCTGAAAAATAAAAACATAATAGGATCAGTTTTTTCCGCCCTGTGGGCACTAAGAGGACCTTTTTAGCAATATTGTTGTGTTGTTCGCCCGACCTACAGTAAGGCGGCCGGGTAGAGAGGGACCAGAATAGCCGGATGAGCTACCTTCCGAAAAATTCTGTTTTTTCGACCCGTCCGGATCCGATCGCGGATGCCTCAGGTCGGTAAACTGCAATCTTAACCGTTCAGCAATCTGGCCGTCGTTGATTCCACGTTGGGAAGCTCAATAATTTTTTGTATGTAACTGTCCCAGGATATCTCGTGTCTCGTCGCTCTGGTCGCCCCAATTGTGAGCCTGACCGGACCCATAATGGGCATGGAAAAAGAACTCACAGGGCAGAAAGAGTTACAATAGAAAAAAATATATTTTGTGTAATATATCTGAAACATTAAAAAATATTCACTTACTCGATCTCCATTGATTCAGTCTGTAATATTTCTGAAACATTAAATGGGTGAAAATGCATTTCTTCAATAGAAACCGTGTCATCTGCGGTTCTTGAATGTTCCCGACAAACATGTTTACCATCCTGGAATTTGCAACCTACAGGCAATACGTCTTTTTCTTTATAGATCATGACTTTATCCGCGTAAATTTCATCTTTTAGATGAACAGAAGCCGGTTCGAGGTAATAAATTTCTTCACCCGTATCGACTCGCCCAGTGAAAATGCCACCATCAAAGTATCCATTGACTAATGATCTACTCTCCCCCTCAATAATTCCTTCGAAAATGGAGGAACCGAGGACGTTACGTGGATACATTTTGATAATCTTATTATTTTTGTGTATGAATACCATACTGTGGGGAGTAAAAATAGACCTGTCTTCCAGCAAAGAAAGCCTGAATGTCCTTCCGTAAGCATAGAACTGGACAGAAATATAATGCTTACTTAATCGGAGAGGCTCTGGTATATTCTTATTTCCAAAATCGGTGTTTACTTCAATTACATTATATGATCGGATCAAATCAAGATTAGGATGAATGGAGGATTTCGAATGAATATTAATAACGGAAATATACAGAAAAGATATAAGATTCAGAACAGAATGCATTTTCTGAATTCGTATATTTTTCAGTTACATTCGATTTTTCAAAAATTATCTTCTGCAAAAAAGAATTGGAACAATTTTTTCCAGATTCGTAATGTAGTATATTGTCCTTGGGCAATTCCATTGCGAATCCGACCGAACCCAGAATGGACTTACCAAAAAAAAAAAATAAAAAAAAAAAAGGCTCAGTGCCCACGAGACTGAATGAATTTTTAAAAAAAGTCTTTTCGTTTATATAACACAATAAATATCAATTGTACAANACATTTTAAAACATAAAGCAAGGACATCAGGATGGGGATATGATAAAATACTCTGTGCATCTGCAGTAATGATTATTAGACTCCCTAGTATAAACTTGTTGTTTTTATTTAAACACCAGTTCAATATACAAATTATGCTGAGTATTAATTCAATTACTATAAATTATGTTGAATGACAATGTGTTTTTATCTTATTTTTTATTAAAATTTTTTGATATATGGATTAAATAATTAAAATATATAACACTAATATTATTTACAAATAATTATTATTATGTAAAAAAAAAATATGAAGTGTGTCAGAAAGTAATGCAAAATGTCAGGGTTGAACTACTTAAAGACAGTCAGGGGTACAGCCTTAATATATTGTATATATAAGTTAGATAGAGCATATCAGATTCACAAACTTAATAGAAGAAATTACTCCAATCATTTCTCAGAGATAAGCTTGATGTAGGAAAACAATATGATAAAAAAAATTTCCCCCTCTTAAAGTATCATTGTCTTTCTCAGATATCTTTTTATATAAAATAATAATAAAACTAATAATTTTTAAAGAGGAAATGTCATATAATCTTTATATAATATGTAATATTAAAATTACAATGCATTTATTGTGAATTCAAAAGTTAGAAATATGTATTTTTTAAAAGAACAGAATACTATATGGTCGACCATTAAAGTATGAACTATTAAAATGCTCTCTATTTATATTCTTGAATATCATTTGCTTTTTCTGCTTATCAGTTTTTAAACATGTTAGCAGCTCCAGTTATATATTTAGAATTTTATCAGAGCAGAATTTAATTGCTGAATAAACTAAAATAATTGCATCAAGTTTTATTTGTATTAGCATCAGTTTTTCTTATGGGATTTTATGTTTCATTAATATCCAGTGCTTAGAAAATTTTCATCATCCATTTGATTTTAAAAAATAATTTTATTACAGTGAAAATTTCAGTATTTTTAAATATTAAATACTAATTTTAATATTTTCAAATAAAAAATTAGATGAGATAATCAAAACTATGAGCCAAGAGTGAAGAAAGTATTCTGAAAATGAATAATAATTACTTTACTCAATATACAGTTCAAATTAACATTAAATCAATGCTATCCTTTACCACACAATAATTATAATTATATAGCAATCAGAAATACACTGTGGCCATAATTAAAGCTTCCCTATTCCAAGCATTCTGTAGCTGTAACCAATAAGCAGATTGACACTAAAATTTGTATACAGATTATGCAAAGGATGTGAAAAAGGATTTTACAAAAAACATTAGTTAAAACTTCCACTAGGGGGCACTTTGGCATATATGATTTATCAAGGAAATGTAACTTTTTCAGATTTAAAGGATCATATTACACTGCAAATGCAAAGCATCACTGAAGAGCAGTGGCAGTCAACTGTTCATTGCCTTCAAATTTTATGCCTGAACAATGGGGCATTGAGCAACATTCCTTACATCGGTAAACAGCCTCTGCAGAAGGCATGTTTCTTCCAGAACAAATAAATGCATTTTTGTTGTTTTGTTTCCTTTATTTTTCTGTAAAGTACCCCCTAGCAAAAGCTTTGAATTAATTTTTTTTCCCCTGCATCCTTTGAGTAATATATATATAAAAATTTTGATGTCAATCTGCTTATTGGTTACAGCTACAGAATAGAGTGCTCTGAATAAGGAAATTTTAATTATGACCACCGTGTGTATTTATTATCAAAAATAATATTATTTCTAACAGCAAACAGAAAACAATAATTTATAATAAATTAACAAATTAAATTGTTTTCAATAATGAAAATCAAACAGATCTTTATTATTATGATAGATTATTATGTTAGTAATATTTACAGATTATGTTAATAATGCTTAAAAAAACTGGAAATAATATATTAGATAATCATTTATTTTAGTAACAACTGATACTATTATAGACATAAGTTTTAATCAATAAATTAAATAAATTTTAATTTTTGAAACTATTTCCCATTTATTTGATAAGTTGTTAGAAAAATTTTAGACTTTTATATAATAAAAGTAAATAAAAAGAAAAACATAAAAATTTAAATATATTTTTAAATATGTTCATTTATCACTTATTTAACTTATTATTAATACAGTAAAACTTTTCTTACTGAAAGCTCTAAGGGGCAGGAAAAAGCTTCGAGTTACAGACGATTCGAGTTAGAGAACAATAGAGTAAAAAATGCCAATTCTGAATAGTTTTGTATTTTTACTTCTCTTGCATTATATAAAGAATATTTGATAGATTTTTGTTTTAAACACTCCGTGTAACACCTTTCAGCAAAATGTTTGATATAACTAATGGAATCAAACAGTTTTGCAAGTAAATCTTGTTGAGATAAAGCAAGAGGTCCTATCGCTTTTGACTGGAATATTGTCTGCAAGTGAATGTTGGATCGTAGATACAACTAATTGTCTGAAAATTTCATGGAAATCCAATAACTAGAATTACTTTAAATAAAATAAGCATTAAAATTCAAGTCAGGGAAGTTGAAACTAACATAAATCAGTGTTGAGGGACTGTAAAAACCTTTGACTTGAAGAAAATTCAAGTTAACACCACCAACTTGAATGTCCTTAAATCCCTGCGATAATCTATTGAGACCTATCAAGTGATTCATTTTCTTCGCGTTACAGATGTTTGAGTTAGAGAAGTTTTACTTTATTTGAATTATAAAATTTTAAATTAATTAAATCATTTTATTTTAAGTTAAATGCCATTAAAATAATATTTAATATAAAAAAGTTTATTCTACAGGTGTTAAAATATAGAGGTATTGATAATATGTTAATTTGTCGTCATAAAATATTTAATTTATATTAGATTTTTTAAATGATTATTATTAAACAGTTTAAATATTAGAGACTACATATCAACAATTTCTTTGTTATTTATTAAGATTTTGAATAGTTACCAATATTTTTATTATTATTTCAGACTGAAAATTTTCTATTAATGACATCTGTTGATAATGAAAAATATAATTGCCTTTTGCCAGAAACAGTAATACTTAATCAGGTATTAATAAAATTTTCAATGATTAAAAAATTAAATTGGATATTAAATGTTTTAAATATGTTACTTTAGGATTCTGGAAAATATAATTATGATGGGCCAACTGCAAAGCAATTGTTGAGACCTCTTTTTACTCAGATGGTATTTTCTTATAGAGTAAGTTTGTGAAATAGTCTATTATGTAAAGTATTTACATTTTTGCTCACTAGAGCAGTTCCAAACTGCAGAATTGATATTGCTCACTTCCTGTTAATGTTTTAGCTTGAAGGACAACGTAGAACAATTCAATAATAAATTTAGACTTAATTATAATTATAAGTATTCAAAATTTATATAATGTTTTAATTCTTTTTTCTGTTACTGTATTTTGATTTATTATTCTTTGGAGGCTACGTTTGAATTATAAAAATACAAACGTCTTAAATTTCTTAATAACAAGTTTATTAATTCTCAAATATTATTTNATATATTTTTAAATATGTTCATTTATCACTTATTTAACTTATTATTAATACAGTAAAACTTTTCTTACTGAAAGCTCTAAGGGGCAGGAAAAAGCTTCGAGTTACAGACGATTCGAGTTAGAGAACAATAGAGTAAAAAATGCCAATTCTGAATAGTTTTGTATTTTTACTTCTCTTGCATTATATAAAGAATATTTGATAGATTTTTGTTTTAAACACTCCGTGTAACACCTTTCAGCAAAATGTTTGATATAACTAATGGAATCAAACAGTTTTGCAAGTAAATCTTGTTGAGATAAAGCAAGAGGTCCTATCGCTTTTGACTGGAATATTGTCTGCAAGTGAATGTTGGATCGTAGATACAACTAATTGTCTGAAAATTTCATGGAAATCCAATAACTAGAATTACTTTAAATAAAATAAGCATTAAAATTCAAGTCAGGGAAGTTGAAACTAACATAAATCAGTGTTGAGGGACTGTAAAAACCTTTGACTTGAAGAAAATTCAAGTTAACACCACCAACTTGAATGTCCTTAAATCCCTGCGATAATCTATTGAGACCTATCAAGTGATTCATTTTCTTCGCGTTACAGATGTTTGAGTTAGAGAAGTTTTACTTTATTTGAATTATAAAATTTTAAATTAATTAAATCATTTTATTTTAAGTTAAATGCCATTAAAATAATATTTAATATAAAAAAGTTTATTCTACAGGTGTTAAAATATAGAGGTATTGATAATATGTTAATTTGTCGTCATAAAATATTTAATTTATATTAGATTTTTTAAATGATTATTATTAAACAGTTTAAATATTAGAGACTACATATCAACAATTTCTTTGTTATTTATTAAGATTTTGAATAGTTACCAATATTTTTATTATTATTTCAGACTGAAAATTTTCTATTAATGACATCTGTTGATAATGAAAAATATAATTGCCTTTTGCCAGAAACAGTAATACTTAATCAGGTATTAATAAAATTTTCAATGATTAAAAAATTAAATTGGATATTAAATGTTTTAAATATGTTACTTTAGGATTCTGGAAAATATAATTATGATGGGCCAACTGCAAAGCAATTGTTGAGACCTCTTTTTACTCAGATGGTATTTTCTTATAGAGTAAGTTTGTGAAATAGTCTATTATGTAAAGTATTTACATTTTTGCTCACTAGAGCAGTTCCAAACTGCAGAATTGATATTGCTCACTTCCTGTTAATGTTTTAGCTTGAAGGACAACGTAGAACAATTCAATAATAAATTTAGACTTAATTATAATTATAAGTATTCAAAATTTATATAATGTTTTAATTCTTTTTTCTGTTACTGTATTTTGATTTATTATTCTTTGGAGGCTACGTTTGAATTATAAAAATACAAACGTCTTAAATTTCTTAATAACAAGTTTATTAATTCTCAAATATTATTTAATCAAATTTATAAATCAAATATATTGTTTTAATAATATAATATATTATTTTTTTAATAGTTAGAACATTTTTGGACATATGAATTATGTCACGGTAGATTTTTAAGACAATATCATGAAGAAAATACTATACATGGAGTAAGTTTTCTTCTTAATAATAAACAGTATTATTTTAAAATTAATTATTAATTTTACTTATTTGCAGAGTTTTACGCAAGAATATATACTTGGATTATATGATGTGAGAAAATTAAAAGAAGGTAAAATATTTCTTATACATTAAATATTTAGCAATTACAAATTATAAAAAACATGAATATGTAAAATAAATTTTTAAAAATAACTTAAATGTGTTCTAGATATTGTCAAATTATTTATCTCAAAATTTGCACTATATAAACTTAGCAAAAAATTATTGAGTTTGATTTTATTAAAAATAATTATTTTATTTTTCTATTAACTGTATAACGGAACAGGTATTTATCTATTCTTCAGCTAAGTAATCAAATCAAATTTTAATGCTGTTTGATTTGACATAGATTTAGGTATATTAAATTGATCAGACTTTTTAAATCCAACATTTGATTGGTTGAATTGTTTGTTCTTACTTCTTTCTTTCAAATAGATGTATCATATTTTTGAAAACTATTAACTATTTTGATATCTCTTTTCATCAATCATATGTTATGCAGAATTATTTCAGAAAGTGTCTTTATTGCATTTTTTTTTTTATTTAAGCATATAATAATAAATTTCTCTTAATAATTAAACTTTCTTGAAAGGTTTTCCATAATTACTTTTATATAAATTAATTTGAATAAACATTAAATTTTAAATAAAACATTTTAATATAATTTTTTTACTTTTAAATTGATCAACTTATGAAAATCATTGGGATCAATCTATATATATATAATTGAGACGAGTTGATAATGATGATAATAATAAGTGCAGAGCTCAAACGGTTATGAGTTGAAAGTTGAAATTTGGTACACAGTTAGGGTACGTTACGAGAATGAACACTAAGAAGGGATTTTTTGAAATTCCTCCCCACGGGGGAGAGGGACAGGATTAAGGCTTAATACTTCCATTGTTGATGGAAGTGTTAAGTAACAACGGAAGTGTTATGTAACAATGGAAGTGTTATGTAACAATGGAATTGTTAAGAGAAAGTGATGTGCAAGATGCAGATGCAGTTTTTTTCATTTTTGCAGGAAATCGAACATATTTTTAGAACCATCTAAAAATTCTCTAATTAGTCTGGAAATAAGGAGACCCAGTTCTTGCATTCTGTGACTGTAACGTAATAATCTTAATCTTAGTTATCGTTACTTTTGCCCAAGCAACACCTGGCCTACCTGCTAGTTATAATATAAATGCTTAAATTTCAATATGCTTATATAAAAATTAGCATTTTGCTTTCAGAAACTTTCAAAGTTTTTCTGTGCCTTTATAGTTGTGAAAATAAATACCTAAGAAACAATAAGTTTCTTTATATGTTAATCTTTTAATGTTGCTGCAAGTAATTTAATTGGAAATTAATAATTCATAATTGTTTTTTATTCTTGACTCTTAAAGAAAGCTTCAAACTTTCTAAAAATCAAAATATTTTATTTATAAAATTTCTAAACTTATATAAGTTTAGGAAAATTATCTTTATATTTGAAAGATCTTAATTTTTAAATCCAAGTTAATAATGTTTATCCACCATTTCAAACATTAAAAACAATATTTTTATCTGTGAAAATAGCAAGCAGAAAACTAATATAATGGCCATTGTTTTATTACTTGCTGCCTGTTATGCGGCTTTTTTATATTATGATTTAAGGGGTATGGTGAAAATGCATAAATATGAATATAGTTTTTATACGACTTAGTTAACACATTCTATAAGATTAACAGATATTGTAAAGAGAAAATCACAAAGAAAATTCACTTCTAAGATAAATAATCTTTAATTCTATCAACTGATTCATTGTATCTTCTGAAACAAGCAATGGAATTTGATGATATCAATCAATCAACACTTTATTGTATGAACTGTAGTTCATTACAAGTGGGTAACAAACAAAAATTAAGGATAATATTTAGCAAGTTAATAATTTAATACAAAATAACACAAAATAAAATATAGAATAATGATCAGATTTTGAAAAGCACGATATATTAATATCATTTTTCTAAGACTTAAACTTTAGTAAATACAGTGGGTGATTGGTTAATGAACATAAATCCATTCCAAGACTTTGTTCGCTATCCGAATTGTTCATTAACCGATTATCAATTTACTGTAGGTTTTTATGGGAATTTGATTAATTCATTCTGGAAACTCTGAAAAATAAAAAATATAAATGTAGTAAGTAAGAAAGAATATATGTAATAATAAAAATACATATATACACAGTCTTGTATTTTCTATTAGTCATGTTTTTTCTGTTTGTAGGGGTTAAAGAATCTGTCCAATGTTGATTGCTTTTCTCTCTTCAGGATTTTTCAGAAGTAATTAATAGCATTATAATTGCAGAGATCTCTAATCCTATTAACCTCAACCTGGTTTGGATGCCATTCTAAGACTGTTGTTCTGACATACTCCCACTTCTTCAAAAGATCTTTAATAGCAGATGTCAGCATTAATACTCTTTTTCAGAAGAAAACACATCTCACTAAGTTTCTTGGTGTTCTTCTGTCGTCAGATCAGTTTCAGGTTCCATTATGAGCTCTTCAATTTTCCTTATATCTCAGATGTGATTTTTGTTACTCCTTTAGCTGCTTGAATCTTCTTGATTATACTGTATCGTCCTTAGATAAGATTGAATTGCAGACTACTGTAGACCTGTTCAAGCTGTACTGCCCAGCAACATCAGACATCTTTTGCCCACTACCTTGGACTATTATACTCACCTTTTGAAAATAAAAACCGACGCAAAACTTAACAAGTGCATGCCTGACAGTCTCTCAAAGACTATAAAAAAGTTCTTTCACACACAAATATTGTTTTAATGCTATAATATAATTGAAAGCATTTATTCTTTTCTAACAGGGACCAATGTTCTTGTATACTTTGTTTACAGCACAGTTTTATAATTAATGGTTATAACATTCAATCAAATGAGGATCCTGAGAAAGCCATAAAAAAAGAAAAACCAAGTCAATCCAACAGATTTTGCAATGTTGATGCCTAATTATATGCACCATCCTTTGTCATTGAACACAATCTGTGAAGTTTATCATTCATTAGTTTAACATAGCTTTTGTCGTCTAATTTTAAGAGATGTATCCAAAATAAAATTATTACTTTTATTGTAATTACTGATATTCTAGAGACTCCAAACTCCAATCGCAGCATGTATGCTGGAATTTTATTGTATAACATGAAATTTTTCTAAGATATAAAGAAAGGACGATTTTCAGTTTATCATAGTAAGTGATTGCCCATATAGGAGTGGCTTAGAGTAATACAGATGAAATCATTGAATGAAATAATTTTATATAAGTAGAAGCAGAGTTAATTTTTGCTCTTGTGAAAATAGACCACATAGAACCCAGTGCCATCTTAGCTTTACATATACTATGATTTTTAGCTTGTAAGAATTTTTCGGAAGACAAAAACAAAACCCCCAAGTATACATAATTCAAAACAACTTGTAATGGCTGGTTATTAAGAAACCATCTTTCTTTGGGTGACATTCAACTTCCCTTTCTTAAATACCATTATCTTTGTTTTTGATGCATTTACAGTTAATTCATAATTCCTCTAGAATTACAATTTTCTTTTGTAGCATTAGTGTAATGTCAGCCAAAATTACATTGGCATACATTAGTGCATGTATTTCAACTTGATCAGAGAGAGCGATTCCAAGTAAATCAGATTTAGTAAGTTGGACTATCAGACCATTGACATACAAATTAAAAAGCAGTGGACTCAAAATCTCACTCTGCAAAACTCCTACATCAACACCAAATGAATCAGTTGTTTCAGATAGTATTTTCACTTTTGCAGTGGCTTTAGAGTATATATCAATCACAAGCCCAAGAAACTGTTTATTTATACCCATTTTGTCTAGTAGAGCCCATAAAACTTTGATTGACAGTATCAAAAGCAGATCGAAAATCCACAAAAACAGCATAAAGCTTTCCTCTCTTTTTTTGCAATTTTAACTGTATCAGTGCATTTTAATATAAATATTTTATCTTGACAAGATCAACCAGGTTGAAAACCTGCTTGCTCCTGGCACAAAATCTCATATTTAAGTATCCATTCTTCTAGTTTTTATTTAATAAGGATGTAAATAGTTTCCCAATTAGGAACCAAAGAAATAGGATGATAATTTTTCGGGTCATCAACATCACTTTTCTTATAATTAGAGATTCAATCCAAGCTTCTGGAAAACTACAATTTCTTTTAATAATGTTAGAGTTTCAATACTGTAAGTAAGAATTTCTCTGAAAAACATTTTAGGTATTCTGTTCAAATAAGATCAGATCTAGGTGAGGTGCCAAATTTAAAGCAATTAATTGCTCTTTTTATCTTTTCTAATGTAAAATCTGAGAAATATTCTTTCCTTATTGAAACACTTTATGTATATCCATCGACAATACGTTTTGACAATATAATTTAATAAAATTTCCATAAATTGTGGTTTTTGTTCAGTAAGATATTTAAATATATATAAATGTTCTTTTTGAAGATGGCATTTTGTATGAACTAAAAGGCATTAAAATATTATTAAAATAATGAGGAAAACTTATAAGAATAATGAAACGTTTTCAGTAGTCTAAAATGTTTCATTATTCTTATTCTGTTTTGAAATAAATTCTTATAATAAAACTTTGATATTTCAAATAAAAATTTCAATAATTGCTGATATTTTATTAAATTTATAATAGCAGTATTCATTATTATTTATATAATAATTAGACAAAAAATTAATTCCAATCAGATTCAGAAGATACAGATGAACAGAAATCTAATCAAGTAAGTATAAATTGAAAAAATTCAATAAATTATATTTTTTTAATATAAATTTTTATTATTTAGATTGTGCCTAATATCAAAATAAATAGTCAAGAAACTCCCTACTTTGAAATTAATATGACAGATGGAACTGTATGTGATGTAAATGGCCAACCTCGATTTAGTAGAGTTCTTTATGCTTGTGGTGAGAAAACACATGAAATATATTCTTTAAGAGAAGCATCAAGTTGTGAATATGAAGTGATTGTGTTAACATCATACCTATGCAAACATCCAGGTTACAGGTATTAATATAATAAAATTAATACTATAGTACATTTTAATATTACAAAATGATTCTGTCTTATTTTGATTAAATATTAATCATTTAATATGTAAAAAAAAAACATTTTTTATAATATCTTTTTACATCTTTAATATGTATTTTAACATGGAAAAATAATCATTTAAGTAAATTATCTTTGGATCATTATTTTAAATCTATTTTTCTTAATGAGCAAGAAAATAAAGATCTAAAACAATCTATCACCACCAAAACATAAATAATGCAAATGACTTAATTTTTATATATATTTATTTTTTAAATTATCCTATAAATCATTTATAGAAATATTTAACGAATTATTTCAATTTTAAACAACTTTTGGATTGTAGAAATTTTGAATAGAATCAATTATAATTCAGTTTATTCAGTATTTTTGATGTTTTGTATATCTGCATACTGATGGACTAAAAAACAAAAAGCTTTCCTCCTGTTTCTCTGAAATTTTTCACAAATTATGTATGTTCCATTTACTCATATCATTGTAAATAAAAAAAAAAGATATATAATATTGTGGTGTATTATAGATGAGGATGATTTTTATTTAAAAAGTGGGATCTGTGAAAACAATATTTAACAGCTTCAACTGCTCAAAACAATAATTTTTTTAGCAAACTTTGTATAGTATTAATAATAATTTATTTTTTTTTTCATCTAGTTATTTCTCTCTGCCAAAAATAATGATCATAATAATTTCTTTTATAATTTTAAATTTTGCTATATACAGTATAAGTTATAATCTGGTACCCAATAATCTAGAACGTCCAGTACTCCAGCATTCTCTGAAAAGAAGCCTGATTATCAGCTACTTTCACTATGTGCTGGTACAAATTGTACAACAATGTCTGAAACATTATGATTGCATATAACTTATTGAATTCTGCAAAAATACAAAATTATCTGGTATTACTCTTGTTCTATTGGTGCCCAGATTAACAGACTTCTGTATTTAATAAAATAATCAAAAACATTAAATTTAGTCTTTTCTAGTTCTAAATAATTCAAACTGTACTTTACTACTCTAAGTTATTTTTGTATGAATATCAAATGTTTAATAAAAAATATTAATTAAACTATTATATTCATTTCTTTATTTAGAATCAAGAAAGTTAAGGCAAATGAAATTTATTGTCATTCTATCAATGGGTCACCAAATAAGCCAATACGCTTATTAAACTTAGAAAATGAGAACTATGAATTGTCCGAGGAAAACAATAACGTAAGAAACTTTAATAATAATAAATTATTATTATATATTTTTGTTTTTTAGTTTGAAAGATAAATACAACAAAAACAAAACACATTATCAAAATGTGATTTTATTTATTTATAACATCTAATCTCCGATTGTTCCAGTCTATCCTTGATCATTAGTGTGTCAACAGATACAGTGTGGTGCCAGGATAAACAGTATATTTCTGTAAATAAACTGTATATACTAAATCAACTTGAGTGTGGAGGAGTATTTCCTATGAACCTACAGTACATTTTGAACATCTCAGGCCCTGCTTACTCAAGAAATAAACTTGAAGATGGAGAACAGAGAAAAATTTCACTAACAGTATTACTCAACATCTAACACAGGGTAATTCACAACAACTTATAGAATTTTACAAATCAAAACAATAGAATTTTACAAATCAAAACAATAAAAGTAAGTCTGGTGAATAAAAAGATACATACAGTGGGTGGAGAATGGATGGAATGTGCTTACCAATACCCAGGCAGGAAAACTTGTCAGTATGAAATATGTCCACCTCAAACTGTGATGCAACACTCTCAACATTGTGGCTCAGTGACTTTTTCTAGCTATCTCCATTAGCAATTGTGTTCATCCTTAAGTTTTGGATACATGTATATTCTCCATGATAAGAGAAAATAGAGACACTGAAGTTAGATATAAAAATTCATTTCAATTTTTTTATTCCAACACAACAGTCCAACATGCCCAATAGAGGACATTGTATATGACCTTGGTTTGATTTTATTATCCTATCTGAAATGAGAAAACTAGTCTCAAAGAGAGTACTTTACACAGGAATTACAAGTCCAGATGGTTGAGCAGTTATGTCAGCCTACTGCTCTGGGGGGACAAGGATTTTTCAGGGAGTGGTTTGCCCCAGATAGTTACATCATCCTCATTGTGGTTCTGGACCAGGAGTCGCCAAAGTGGTTAATATCGACCCCCGGGGATTGATATAACATTGGGGGGGGTCGATTATCAAGCTTAAACTAAGGATCAAGCTTATCCGTATCACTGATTGTCAGTTACAAAAATTATTATTAACAAATATACAATAAATGAAAAAAAATGCAAAATTAAAAGAATTGTATTAAAATAGTAAGTACTTTTTAACACAAACTTTTTGGTGGGGGTTGATCTGAGGTTTTGAAAACTTGTAGGGGGTCGACGATCAAAAGTTTTGGCAACCCTTGTTCTGGACAAACCTATGATTGGCTTGAAAAAAAGACACTCTTTCTACCTCTGTGTACTAAGAGTCCAGAAAAAAAAATCATGGTGGCCTATAGCCTGAGTTCAATTATTTTCAAATTAGAAGTTACAAAATGCTCATTGTGGCAGGCAAAATGTCAGTTTGCATGGGCCATTCCAAGACAGCTCATATCCAAATCAAGGCCAGTCATTTTAAAATTTCAGGTAATACACCACATTTACCATGAGCCAGATATCCATTCATATGGGCAATACAACTGCTTATGGCCTGAATTAGAATAAGACTTTTTTAAATTTAATATAATATACAACAGTTTATTTTGTTTAGTAATTTATTTTTCTCAAGGAAATATAATGTATATTAAAATAAGCAAGGCCACCAGGAAATTGAAAATTTTACAGTCCTTCCCTTCTGACTTCCCAAATGATCCTAGTAATTTATCAACCTCCAGATGAATCCACCCCCTTGGGTCACTAGCAACCAGGTTGGAAACATTTGCTCTAGTTAACTATTACATTCTACATATACCATATTTATTCACGTATAAGATGAGGTTTTTATTCACTTTTCACTGCTTCAAAAACCTAGGTTGTCCTATATGAATGAACGAAAGATTCTTTGCGTTTTTGCAATAATTTTTGTGAACCATGTATTCACACTTTTTACAGATGCTCACCCTTTGGTGTTTAAAAGTGAAAGTATTTTATCTGGGTCATTTGAATGTTTCTTGTGTATTGTCAGGAGTAAAGATGAATAACAATAGGAAAAGCAAAGTTTTTGAATTGAATTCCAAATTGAAATTCCAAAATCACACAGAAGCCCAATATAAGTTTTAATCCATTCTTGTGGAAAGAGAACATATGATTATTCGGAAATCAGAATTCAGAGAAACTCATAAGTGTGGATTTGACTGTTAAGAATTGGCATAAAAGGTTCCCAGTTGTCCAGCTTTACATGAACAAATTATGTTGTCAATTTTACAAAATTTTTTCTTAGTTTAAAATGCCAGTAATTTTTGCAGGACAATGTGTGCATTTATGTGAAAAATGAATGAAAACCTCGTCTTATATGCAAGTAAATACGGTATATATTTTGCATAACTTGTATGAAATAAATATGAAAATATATTGAGCAATTTCCATGTTCTGAACAATTCGTAAAGAGGTGGAATTACTCTAGAATTTTTTCTGAAATTGATACATTTATTTGTGATTACGAAACAAAATTAGAACTGTATTAATAAATCTAATTTTTTTTATTTTGATCTTTAAAAAGTCACACCTCGTCCTATATGCGAGTAAATATGCTCATCACTATCCTTTCTGTTATAATTTAAATTATTCTGGTATAATTTAAATTATTTCTTAGACAAATTTAAAAATTGTAAATTCTGTTTATTCTGTTATAATTTAAATTATTTCTTAGACAAATTTAAAAATTGTAAATTTATTAAATATAAAAGTAGTAAGTTTATTGTGATTTTACAAAATAATTATATCTAATGTAAGTATTTTATGATTATCTGTTTCTGTAATTAGTCATAAAAGATGCTTTAATTCAAGAAAAAAATGTTTTGAATTATTCAATAGATTATGTTCAACCTGTCTATTGTTTTGAAATTACTATTTTCTGGAATTTGTAATTTAAAATGTTAAAATAATTTTGCCAGTATCACATTGTAATAATCTCAACTCATACTTTTTAGTAATATTATTATTGAAATTATTTAAAATCATATTCCAATAGCTTTTATAAATATTTTAAAGAACAAGTAACTTTCTAATTATCTGTTAGAAAAGTTATCAACTTATAAAGTTTAGAAATATTCAATAAAATATTCAATAAATATATCATTATCGTTCTCGTAAATATATTAGTGAGTATTTTGGCTTGTCAGTTATTTATAACATTATAATTTTAGGGAAAAAAATATTTAAATTTGCCGAAAAATTTCTGGTGATAAAATTTCCAGTGTTTGGTTATTTATACAGGATATTTGTATTATAAACAAATTACTTTTATATGAAAAAAAAAACATCAATTTTTCATAATTATAGATAATCTCTCAAAAATTAATTTCTTACAGCATTTACCAGTTACTGAAACACCTAATCAGAAACCACAGACTGAGAGCACACCCCATGATGAAAAAATTATTCAAGACTTTCTCAATGGAGATTATTGTTTACATGGTGTAAGTATTAATATATTATTTTAAATATTTTTAAAATTGAATAAAATTACAATGTTTTTATTCTAGGGATCTGGATGGTGGAAATATGAATTCTGTTATGGAAAAAAAGTTGAACAGTATCACGAGGTTTGTTTAATTTTATTGATCTATTCTGTGAAAAAGTATATCTAAATACATCATTGTTTAGTATTAGCATTCTGATATCTTGGATAATATAATAACAATATCTCATTTTTAATCGATTGTATAAACTCATCACTTTCTAAAGTTAGTAAATAATATTTTTGCTTTTCAATAAATAAAATTTTAAGTTTGAATTATTAGCATTAGGTATACTTTGTCTATAGATAAAAAATACATTTTTAGAATTTAATCTTTTTACAAAGAATAAAAACTTTGAATAAAATCAACTTGAAATGTCTTCAGATAAAAAGATCAGACATAATGTGCTTTGTGCTTCAGAAAGGATGTAACACTATACAAACAGTAAAATAACATTCATAATGTGTAAGGTGGAACTTCAAACATGTCAAATATGGTTTAAAAAGTTCCATTCAGGAATTTTGAACTAAGAGATACAAAATGTAGAGAGCCCAAAAGCTGTTGTTGATGATAAATTGCAGGTAGAAATTGTTGAAAATTGATGAATATCACACAATATATATAAACATCAAAAATAAAGCAAAACAAAGCACTGAATTGTGTAATTTTCCTGGCTATTATGAGATTTTTATTTAAAAAAAAAACTTTAATAATAATATAAATCATAATAAATAAATTTGTTATGAGGTTTTGTTATAAAAGGTTTTTATATTATTAACTGTTATAAAATTGCAAAAAAAACTTAAAGTTAAGGATAGTGATGAGCGTTATTTTTAAAGGTTGCAAATGCTAAAAAAGAGTGAAATCTTAAGTCTGACCAGTCTCAAGATATGACACATGACTGCCTCTATCTCCCATATCCTCTCAGCCTTTAACCACCAAAATTTAAAAGCATCAATGCCCCTTATACACAAGCTACCATGCCAAATTTCATTTCTTAATCTTTATCCCATCCTGAGATATTGAACAAAATAAATGCCAGCACATACACAAACATATCCAAGAAACTTTTTACTTTTTTGGGTTCAAGAGTCTCAAAACGTGGAGATTTGCAAAAAAAACAGAGTGTCAAATTTGATTTGACACAATTCCAATACTTTTTCTTCTTATGTTTACATAACAGCTGGGAAAGTACAAACACCGAAAACACATGAGCTTAATGCAAGAGATGACTTGGGTGCACAACAGATGCTGTTTATGCTTTGAGTGCATTTTTCACTGGAACTTAGAAGCATTCCAGAGTTCAAACTCCAGAGAAATTTCTGTCAAATTTAGCAATCAAACTGAAACATTTGAAGTTTGATTTTGTTTACTAAAATTGGAGGCATTCTTTAAAATCTTTAACAAAATGAGATGCAGTGATTGCTAGTTGATCTGTGTAAGTTATGAAGAATTTGAAGTTAGAATCACTCAAAGTATGAGGTAACACTGCATTTATTTTTGAGGAGCCTTTTAATTTCATAAAAGTTAAGCCATCCTGATTCCTTATAGGGGATGGGGAAACCATAAGATTTCAAATGGAAACCCCAATTTTTGGATTCTCAGGTAAAGAATAATAATGTTTTAAATAAAACATTTTTCCAAAAATGTTAATTCCAAAAGTTACAGGAATTTTTAGTTATATTTTCAAAAAGTAACAATTAAATGCTTTTTTGATGCTCCAATTTATTGTAACTAAGACATTTAAATGTTTTAATGATTGTTATTTACATTCTTACCTGAATTAAATTTTGAATGAAAATTATTTATCTTGATTACATAATCAATTGAGATAAATAATTTTTGTTCAGAATTTATTTTGATTGAATGCAAATTTTTTGATGTAATTGTCTTTAAATAAGGAACAAAATATTATTTTTCTACTAGCACATCTTTTACCCATTAGTAATTTCACAGATACATATGAAAATATTTTGTGATCAAAATGGCAATTCTGTTGAATAATTTAAAACCAAATAATTTATTGTAAATATCGAAAATAGATGATTTAAACATTTATACTCCTGAAAATAAATTGTTTTGTCAGAAATTCCTTTTAACTTAACTTAGCCTAATCAATCTTAGATTGACAATCTGTACATTGTAGAATTTATGAAGAAATTAGCCAATTAAATGCTGGCTATTTAGTTTAAACTGCTAAATAGATACTGGGTGTCTAGATAAATTCCTACATGCAGCTTGCAAAGGTTAAGTGTTCTGTATGTGCTATGGTAAATTTTGCAAGGAAACCCTTGAAAAATGATTTTACTATATGGGGTGCAGTTGAAGTATATGGTAAATAATACAGCAGTGGACACATCTTCCTGTATTTTCTGTTTCAAGCTTTTCATTTACACAGATCAGTGAGTGAACTAGACATCAGTCATAATGACAACCAAAAGATCTTTCAGCACTGACTTCAAACTGAATGCAGTTGTGTATGCAAAAGAACATTCTGGAGGAGCAGTAGCACAGAACTTCAAAGTGTATCCAAAGCAAATTTGCAAGTGGAGGAGCAAGTGTGATGCTCTTAAGGCTATCAAGAATAAAATGAAGTAAAGCAGCTGGCAAGAGGAGGGTCAAGAAGATCAATGAAGAATTAGAAGAAAAGGTTCTGTAGTGGATCTGATCAGCAAGAGAAAAGTAACCATACCTACAGATGGATGGTGAAGGACAAAGCAAGAGAAATAAATCTTCACTCAGTTAGATGAAAGGGGGAAAATGCAGTGTTCACAGCTAGCAGTGGGTGACAAAAAATCCATGAAACTGCTACCATAAGCACAAAGTTATTACAGTATCTATGTTGTTATACAGTAGTGTGCTTTTCCTTTTTTATTTAATAGAAAAGAAGTTCTCATGAATTACTAGAAATTTTCATTATTTGGGATAGAGAATGGGTTGGGAAAATTATGGAAGTGGTGGTGAAAAGAAGATTGAACTGTTTTCCTCCCTTTTTTTAATCACTAGTTTAGATGCTAAATTCTGTGAGAATGGAGGATGGGTCTCTTATATAAATCAAGAGCTAAGTATACTCTGTCCAATAGATTACCAATCATCTATTAGAGGATTTACAGTATTCACTTATTGGTAATTACCCAACAAGAAAAAAATGTGGATCTTAGTGGAAGACAGATCTATGCCAATTTTTTTACATTGTGAAAAACATGGAGTTAAAATTTTGCTGCAATCTTAAGTTCAGATGCAATGAAATGCATCTGATCTTAAAATTTCAAATTTATACAGATTGTCACAAGAAAACTGTCACACACGTTAGGTAAGATTTGTGCCAACCATACATGAACAAGCCAACTGTTAAGTGGTGTGTGTGAGATGTATAACTCATCTAGATATGCAAATATTACTATTGCTGCAAAACATGAAGCAGTGTTCACCAGAAAGGTCTGAAAACCAAGGATATTTTGAAGTTGTCATGTTTGGAAATGAACCAGAAGTTTATCTAAAGAACTGTGTAGTATAGTGATATATGAAAAATCAAATCTACTTCTCAATATGGGAAACCCAGATCTTGTATGGATGCTGGAAGTGCTTAAGGGCGTTACTCAGGTGGAATCTGGCACAGTTGGGAAGGAAGATTGGTCATGAACTGGGAATCAACAAATCATCAATACATCAACTCATCCAAAGTAATCTATACTTCCATGCTTATAAGAAACAAAAAGTTCATAGTCTGATAGAGGAGGAGCCTAGGGTGAAAAATGCAAGAAGTTGATTTCCTGGCATGCAGAATTGCTGATTCTTTTTTCTGATGAAAAAATGTTTCAGCTGCAAAACACATTCAAGAGAGTCAGTAAAGGATAGGACAAAAGACAGGTTTAGCACTTTCAGAACATATCCCAGGTCATGATATTGGGTGTTATCTCCTTTTGTGGCAAGCTTCCACTGGAATTTGTTCAACTGGGGCCTAAAGTGAGGTAAGATTATAATACCCTCCAGGATATGGGTGATGATAATATCACCCATATATCCTGGAGGATATCAGGAATATATTTAGTAAACACATTCTTGATACCCTCCAGGATATGGCCAAGTGCAGTGTCGCTTGGCCTTGTGAAGAAAAATGTTCATAGTTCATCATACCAAATGAACAACCCATCTTGTTCCTAGACTTTAATCTGCAGGATAAAGGCCAAAATATGGAAAGTTGTACAGAATGCTTGCAAATGGATTCAAAAGTTCAAGGAAGGTTGAATTTTAAAACCCATTTGCATAGATAAGCTGTGTAGACTTTTGAATCCACCTGCAGGCATTTTGTAGTGACATGAACAACTTTCCACATTGTGCCTACAACCTGCAATGAATCTCATTAGGTCTAATACCTTAGAAAGCTGTTGTTTGACATTGACAGCCAGTTTGATTTTGTTGCAATTTGATATGCACAATACAATTTTGTAAATCATGTGTAGTTGACACAAATACTAACTGACAGGGACAACTATTAGTACAGGACTGCATTATTGTGTACTATTTTTCAATATTATTAGTCTCAACCTTGTACACTATGTTCCTTAACAATTCACCATAGATATGAGATAGATTTAATAAGTAAGGTTAGTAGCTCTATTAAAGAAAAATAACAATGTTTTGGACACTACTCTGGGAACAAGTGTTGCATTGAAGGACATTTCACTTGACACATGTAATGCCATAGCAGAAGATATCATTTAACAATTGGCATGGGCATCAATCCATATTCAACAGTGGGAACATATCCCCTAATATTTTTATACTAGACAATTTTTCCCCTCCCAATATATTTTTATTTTATGCTATACTCCAAAAATTAAAAGTAGAAATGAGTACTGTACACAACACATACACCTTATTTTATATATCCACTTAAAACCCAATAATGGGAAATTTTTCTTACTCATTATCATTGGACTGTCTCTTCAATATTTATACAGATCAGTCCTAATGGTAAATAAAACTATGCTTGAAATACGATGGCAGACATATAAAGCATGTCAATAAAATATTTGTACACTTTACTAACAAGTGTTATCTATGTATTGATATTGCTCTTTTGTGTTTTGATTACTTTTTTTTTTTTTTTTTTGAGGCTCATATCTTTTAACATATGATCCTGTTGTCAAAACAATGCTTAATTTGCTTTGCTGATTTGAAAACTATTTAACTAAATAAAAATCAGCTGACATTAATTATGTATTTATAGGAAAAAAATAAACAGCGTACTGTTATTCTCTTAGGAAGTTGGAAAGTAGGTCATCATCTTGAATGGTTAAAAAAAAATCCTTCAAAAAGACCCAAAGAAGGGTTAATACCAAGGTATGAATTACTTAAGTAGATCAAATATTATATTATTATAATAGTCTAATTACAATATTTATTTTTGAAAAGCATAAATAAAACAGTTTTAATATTTTACTTTTTTTATCAGAATATTAAAATATATTTAGAACTTAAATATTTTTCATAAAACTTTTATGCTTGATATGTATTAATGATACTGATATATTTAAACTAAACAGACTTTATCAAATATATATTTAATTATACATATAATTACAAAGTTTATATTGAACCATAATTAATCTAGTTGTATTTTCAGATTTGTTAAGTGTCTTAGATTTTTGTTTTTTTTTTATTAGGGTTAGGCAAAGAAACTTTCTCCTAATCTTTACCTNGCTCTGCTCAATGTCAATTCCCTTCACCACCTGGTAAACTTTTTTAAACTTATCATCTTATATTTTCAGTTTGATTCATGCAGTTCAGTTAGTTGTGTTTATGCTTTGTTTATATTGTCAGTATTATTATAAGAGATGAATTACTATTATGTTATCAGACAAAACTATAAGGAGCAAATTTACTTCCCTTGTATGAAACTAAACTTTTGAACATAGGCCTATAGCATTTTTGTGTGTTTGTTGTTTTAGTATTAATCCTACCATACCATTATTTAAAAATAAGAATTAGTCTTATGTTATCAGATATGTACCTAAATAAATTGAGTTCTTTTGGTTACTTTTCAGGTGTACAAATGTGTGAGTGAACCTTATCAATGATAAAATGCTTAAAAGAAAGTCTTTATTGTCATGAAATACATCCATGTCAATGGACCATTGGAAAGCTTATTACTTTCCAATATTTAGTACATAAGCTACCTTAAAACTTGCACCCGCTGATTTTATTTTCCCTACAAACTAACTATACAGAGAGTAACTATACAGAATTTGGTCCAGATTGGTCAAAAGGTCCAAACCTTTTGACCAATCTGGACCAAATTCTGTATAGTTACTCTCTGTATAGTTAGTTTGTAGGGAAAATAAAATCAGCGGGTGCAAGTTTTAAGGTAGCTTATGTACTAAATATTGGAAAGTAATAAGCTTTCCAATGGTCCATTGACATGGATGTATTTCATGACAATAAAGACTTTCTTTTAAGCATTTTATCATTGATAAGGTTCACTCACACATTTGTACACCTGAAAAGTAACCAAAAGAACTCAATTTATTTAGGTACATATCTGATAACATAAGACTAATTCTTATTTTTAAATAATGGTATGGTAGGATTAATACTAAAACAACAAACACACAAAAATGCTATAGGCCTATGTTCAAAAGTTTAGTTTCATACAAGGGAAGTAAATTTGCTCCTTATAGTTTTGTCTGATAACATAATAGTAATTCATCTCTTATAATAATACTGACAATATAAACAAAGCATAAACACAACTAACTGAACTGCATGAATCAAACTGAAAATATAAGATGATAAGTTTAAAAAAGTTTACCAGGTGGTGAAGGGAATTGACATTGAGCAGAGCAGACAAATGCTGCAGTAAAGACATCTTTCTCACTATTTTATATTAAAAAAGGAAAATGCATATCTAGCCTATGTTCATCCAGAAGGAATAATCTTTCCAATAGCAAAAGAATTTTAAGAATCATTTAGTATATTCAGAGATTATTAATATATAAAGTGAAAATTTTTGTTTGCTAGAACTATAGGTTATTAAGATGGACTTTTTCTATTAATTTTGTGATAAAAGGAACCAAACTTCAGTAATGTTACATTATATGTGATTTTTCAATCATTATGAAAGACAGGATGTCCATTTCTTGTAAGTCAAGTCCATGCTTGTGTGTAGTCATCATTTGTATTTCTTTTATTTGTCATAAGCAGCACAATGTGAAAAGAAAGTTGGCAAGTAAGAAATGACAAATTTGGAGAAGCATCCAAGAATAAATGTGGTATTTGCTTATTAGACTATTTGTTTTTGGCTCTACTGTGTATATGAAACTACATATAAGATTCAGTTACCAAGATGAAAAAATTTTTATCTTTATGCAATCTTTACTGATAAGTATTTACTATATCTTTGTCTTTTGAAAATGAAAACCTTTATTTCTAGACTCTTCATTCTGTTGTTTTTACATTCCACAATTATTATTAATACTGTAAACAATATGTTTCAAAACTAATTATATTGTTTGTTTCTTCACTACTAGGTGCATAAATAGACACAAGGCATTTTACATCATCTTTATTGATCTTCTATTGGCCGATATATGTAGCAACGAAATTTAAAGAAGATTCCAGATGTAATGGTATGTCATAACTTATTGTGGTAAGAAATTTATAATATGTTTTATTGTGTAGCCAATGGATGAGGGGCCTTGACCGAAACACGTATCGGCCAATAGAAGATCAATAAAGATGATATAAAATGCCTTGTGTCTATTTATGCACCTAGTAGTGAAGAAACAAACAAATAAAGGAAGACATGGTCTCGGAAATACCTAATTATATTGTTTAGTTATGAAAATAATTGTAAATATATATACCTTGTCATGATACAAAATCTTTAAGATTCATACAGTTTGTGCTGTAATTTACACTTATACAAATAGATTCAACTCTTATGAAAAAATCAATAGTTTAAAAATATGTAATTTAATAAAACAAATTCAAAATTGTGGATTTTAGAAATATTTAAACACTATTTATTTAAAATATTTATTTGAATTTTTGTAAATTATAAAGCATTTGATTGTAATTAAGCTCAATAAACAAATACATTCAGAATGTATTAATTTATTGGGCTACAATTTTCAAAAATTGTAGACCTATAAATTCCCATTGACATCTATCTGTCTGTCTTTCCTTAATCTCGAGAATGGAGTTAGTTAGATGAAAGTCAAGACCAGATATGGAAAGCTTAAGGCCAGTAGACCTGATTAACTATATACAAACTTCTGTTCCAAACAGAAAGTGATATTATTTCAATTGAAAATTTTTCTCCTGAATGAAGTTAGATGACTGGCATGACATAATTGTTATCAGTAAAAGTATGATGTACTGTACAGGGACAAGACACTACTAAATGAAAGCATTGTGATGATGTCACAATAAATAATTGTAATAATTGTTACATTGTAAATTTGATTTAAAATACAATGATGTGTTAATGAATTAAGTTAAAAATAAAAAATCATACATAAAAGTTGAAAATTATAATTATAATGTATATAATTTTGCTTATTTATTCTGACAATCTTCTTTAAGTTCTAATAATTGTGAATTTGAACTAATATAACCTAAAATTAAAGTGATGAATCTGAATAATGATTTTTAAAAATTTCAATTACAATATATTATCTAAATTTTTTCAGACAAGTATCTCATTTCTATAGTGAAGGAACAATATGTGATATTACAGGAAAACCTAGACAAACGGAAGTTAGATTAAAGTAAGTTAAATTTATGAAAAAAAGAATTTGTGATTTAATATACACTAATTAGATACACCTCAAAAATTTTACAAAATTTTCCATAAATGATTAGATAGATTCAAAAGAAATATTTATAATCTTTTTAAAAACTATATTCTAATTGATTTCAAATTTATCTTTGTTCAATGAAAAATTACACTATTAAAGTATTCCAGTTGTCTATTAAAGACATTTTTCTAGTTGTCTTTTTTTATTCACTTGATATATTTTTTTTTTCAAAATTATCCATATGCCTAGATGGCCGAATGGTTAAAGTGTTAGCCTTCCATTCTGTGGACTGGGATTGAATGTAGGTGGAAAAAAATCCCAGGAATTTTTCTTGGGTACTCTTTCTCAGATATATAGCAAACCCTTTACCACCCAGCTGCCCCATGGATAAAAGGTCCTCTTAGGCCTACAGGGCAGAAAGAGTCAGAAGTGAAGAAAAAAATCCCATGTACCTAAGTAAAGAAAAATAATAATAATAATTCTGTAATTGCAAATTATTGTTTGTGTCATGCATGATCTTTGGGTTATAAATTAAAATTAAACCTTTGTTTGATCATAATGTAAATTGAATGTAATATGTATTTTTAAACAAATTAATTTTCTATGCAAGAAGCATATAGTATTATCATTGTTCACTATAAAAATGAATTAATAAAATATTCAAAAAATTTTTAAGAATAATTAATGTAAGAATAGTTTAGAAACTTTTGACTCCATAAAATAACAACATATTTTTATTTTTAAAGATGTAAAGAAATTAAAGGCCACCCAGATGTTGTTTCTCTATATTTGAATGAACCAAAATATTGTGAATATGTTCTAGGAGTAAGTAATGTACTGTGCATTATTTTAGTTTGCATTTTTATATATTCCCAATAAATACATATATTTACAGAGGCATAACCTCAAATAAAAGGTCATCTCTAAGTGAAATTTATTTTATTTTGTTTGTCACTGCTAATTTTGAACAACAAACTCGTGAAGATAAATTTTGTATCTTTGATATATTTTTAATTAATAAATATTATTGTTTAATTAATGAATAGCATCATTTTTATTTTTATCATTCTTTACAATATGCAAAAGAAGTTTCAAATTATAAATTATCTAAAGTTATTTTGGTAATTAATTAAAATGTTTTTCAATACAGAAATCAATATCTGAATCTATAAATCCTATTGTCAAAGTTTTGATATTTGTTTAATTAGCATATATATTTAACTGAATTTTTAATTTGATTTAAATAAAAATTAGACTAATAAAATGTTATATTTAATTTCAGGTGGAATCACCAATAATATGTCCACTTTTAGAAACTGTTGACAGAGATGGCTTATTTCATTCCAAATCCTGATGATTGTTTTTCAAAACATTAACACAAATGTGGTTTTTCATAATGTGACAATGACCAAGTTGCCATTACTATTTAATTTGTATAAATGCAAAGAAGCATAACTACCTTATTCTGTGCATTACTGGGAATGATGCTGTACAGAATCTTAACTGTACTTACCACTATTTTTTGAAAGAAAATATTTTATCATTTACTGTAAATACTATATGGTAAAAAAAGAAATTTGTGATAGGTACTGTATTATATGATGTATATTTTTATATTATATAAAAATAAAATTGTTTTAAATTTATTCATAAATGTTAAAAAAAGAAACTATGTATGTTCTTTGAACAATTTTATTTAACTGGAAAATTTATAAAATATATGTTTTGTGTCTATTTATGATCTGTTGCATAATCATATAATGGAAACTAAAACAAATATTAATTAATACCTTAATTTTGAATGATGAGAATAATAATTTTAAATTTAGAACATGTAACTTTTAAATATTAATGTCAGTTGCCATAAAGTTAGTTAAAAAACAAAAAATGATTGAAATAGTTTAGTGAAAAACTAAACATTAATTAATTAAAGTATTTTTTAATGAAAATTTCAAAGTATTCAAGTATTTCTGAAACTTTTGCTTAATCAAATGCATTTGTATTAGATTATAAAGTATATGAAGAACTTTCTAATGTACACCCAATTCTGTTTTTAAATGATAGATATGTCCCCAAAAAACTTCATGTAAAAAAGATACCATCCTTTTTTGGAAAAATGACAATTGGTTCCAGATTTTAAGAAGCCAATTAATATAATAGGATATGTTTAAACAAAATGTTTCAATTTTAGTTACTAAACCAAAGAAAGGACAATTGTAACTTAACATATTTTATAGCATAATAGCAGATAAGCCCGGCATTGCTTGGGCAAAACGTAATGATAGTGAAGATTAAGATTATTACATTACAGCCAATCTTACCGTTTTCACAGAATGCAAGAGTTAGGTTCCTGTTTCCAGACTAATTAGAAAATTTTTAGATGGGTCTAAAATTATGTTCGATTTAATGCAAAAAACCGTATCTGCGCTTTTAAATCTTGCACGTTGCTTTCTCTTAACACTTCTATTGTTGAAGCCTTAATCCTGTCCCTTTCCTGGGGGGGATTTTAAAAAATCCCATGTTAGTGTGCGTTCTCGTGACGTACCCTAACTGTGTATCAAATTTCAAGTTTCAACTCCTAACCGTGCTGAAGTGCTCACGATGAAATACTTATATACATGCACGCCATCTATCGTAGGATAAATGTACTATGCCAGAAACCTTTGCAGGATTGTATTAAACGACTTCCCAAAGTTTCATGGCAATCGGATAAATGGTGTAGTAACGTATGAAGGACAGACAGACATACATTCATTTTTATATATATAGATAAGAAGCACTTCCATTTCAGCACAAATTTAGGAAAAAGTATTTAATGCCTTTAAACCATCCCACACTATTAGCACTCAACAAATTTTTTATCACTGTATTCTGGTAAAAAAAGTAAAATTAGATTGCACATTTTTATTTGTTTGACTTTTAAACTCCTGTTTTTTTCCTTTTTTATCATATTATATATGAATACATGCAAAAGCAGCTTAGCTATAATTAAACTTATTATTTGTCTTTTCTTAACTTCTACTATTATTTTTATTCAAGTGTTTGGTTATCTGTAGCCTAGTGAAGACTGGAGAATTCATTAGCCTACAGGAAATCACAATTTTACATAAAAGATGCAGGGTGATGTTTTTTGAACAAAAGTCCTGTCTTTCCTGTCTTATAGCTGTAAAATATAGTACTTAGCAAAATTTAATAAATTTATACTGTTCACACAAATTTTATTTTATATTTGGCTTTTTCAATAAACATCAAAATGTGTCTAGCTTTTAACACAAAATGGTATACAAAAACTATTCCCTATTCAAAGAAATCTGAAGGCAACCATATGAACAAATCATCAAACTTTGAATTAAATTTTTTCTGACTGATTCATTCATGGGATAAAGTTGGAACAAAAGACTTGCTAAACATGATCCAGTTGTAAAAAAACAGCTAAATTGTAAAATTTATTTGTGTGTATAGCAGGCTTAAATACAAATTTTAAGTACTGTATTGTTTAAAAGAAATTTTCTGGAAAAGGAAGTATGAATATTTTTTCTTAGAATTAAAATCAAATAGAGATTTTTAAAAAAAAACAGATTTATCAAAATGCATTAGATAAAAATAGATTATGTAAAAAGGGACAATTTTTTCCACACTATGTTAAATCATGTGAAAACAGAAATTTGGGTGTACAGGTAACCCCCGTATAACACGGCACTTCTATAGCACAGATTTGCTCTAACACGGTTCGAGAATTGGTACCATCCCCCGTATAACACGGTACTTTTATAGCACGGATTCACTCTGACACGGTTCGAGAATTGGGTAAAACCCTCGTACAACATGAAATGTAATAAATTTTTACATACTTAAGTAATAATAGTTCACGAAAATTATTATTTTCATGAACTATTAGTATTTAAGTATGTAAATTTTCTTTTCTTGCCTTCTGTCGATACACGTGGTCCTTCTCGAAACTTGTTTCAATGTTGCCAGATCTCGACGCTTCTGCTTCTGATGTTGCCAAATGTTTTTCCCTTATTCCATACTTGCTTTATTCTTCATAAGTGCTTAGCACCATATAAGGAAATTTATAAAGACCTTTTAACTAGAAGCAAGCAATCTAAAATTACATACATTTTGCAAAAGGTAAAGCATGGATCTGAAGATAATGCAGAAAAATGCTCAGAGGATAAGGATAACTTGCCAAAAAGAAAACGCTCTCGGTTAATTAATAGTGTTTTTAGTGATGACGAAGAAAACATTGTTTAATTTATATTAATATGTATCACTTAAAAAAATTTTAATGAAGATATTTATCTTAATTATGAAAATATACTAGCATGTTTTTTAATTTTTGGAACCTAACCCTCCTTTTCGTATTAGTTCTTTGTTTCGTATAACACGGATTCGCATAACACGGCAATTTTTTGGAACGTAACTACCGTGTTATACGGGGGTTACCTGTATTTGAAATTCATTGTGCAACCAGTTTTTTAAATCATAATAGGTAACTTGATTTTACTTTAAATCAGCATAACGTCATTTGTTTTAAACTAAACAAGAATTAAACTTACAAGTCCTATAATCTGAAATGGCATGTATTTAAATCAATTTCTTGTCATTTTTACATTTACTAATTGTGAAGTGATAACATCAAACCAATGTAAAATAAAACTATCTCATTCAAATAAAAATTTATATTTTTTTCAATAATAGTCTTGAAGAATACTTAAAATGACTACATGTATAGATAAAACAACAAAATTTGACAAGTTATAAATGAAGAAAGGTTAAATTTATAAATTAAATTGTATAAAGTTTAATTCTATTTGGTCCCACAAAGCTTGATGGACAGTAAATCTAGAGATTGGGCAGACTGAGGAAATGTGGCACTATGATGAAGATATTCCAAGGAAACCCTAGCTGTGTACATCTGATCTGATCTGATCTTACTGGAAAATGGGTGTTTGCAACCCTGTCATGAAAGACAACACAGGATTTTCTGAACATACCACTGTGATGTCAAAGGTGAGATTGAAATGCTCACCAGCAATACTCCACATACTAACATGGTTATCCATTCCAAAATAGATTCGTTTGCAGATAAACTGTCAATGACATTGGGATACTAATGGCAGGATGCATAGTGGTCACCATGCAAATTTGCTTCTGCTAGTCACCTGTCAATGGTACAGGAAGAGACAAGGTTTTGTAATGAGGCTTCCATCTATCTCTGGATGTCAAAGATTCTATTGCAGCTATTTTTACTAATCTCGTAATCAGACAAGTATTTCTCCTTGCTGGTCTATCTAGGGCATCCAGAGCCTGTCTACAATGTATATGTGCCCTGATATATCCACTGCTCCCAACTTCATCTCAAAGTCATGTTAGAATATCCCAGATTTAGGTAATCTACCAAAACTGCCATCCTGCTTTCCTCAGCCATATGATACAGTCTTTCTCAAACTCCATCAGTTGTACATATCATCATTATACAGACATTTCTGGCATTCAAACAATAACAAAAATTCTGAACAAAGTGATCTCTGCAAGCCTTTTTACAGGATACTGGGTTAACAATTTTAAGGCATTCTGATGGCATTACTTGGCATGCAATCACTCCACAACTGTAATCATTTATATACATGTCAGAGACATAGCCATAAGCTGAATTTTGCAGTAATCACACACTTCTATCTGGTGCATAACTTTTTTGTCAGTGAATAGTGTCAACTGTGGACACACTTCTTTCAAAACATTATTAAAGAATAGATTATGATGATTCCAAAAAAGTTATATACAATTTCAATATTTTGTTAATAAAAAAAATCATGATGATTAATTGAATGAACAATTGAATATTTAAGTCAAAAATTCTTACATTGCATTAGTGTTTTTTTTTGTAGTGATTGCATACTAGATTATGATCTTAAAATTATATTCATTAATTAAATTGGTATGGATGGTATCTACATAACATTTTTCTAAAATTTCATAGTAAAAACATTTTTCTAACATTTCTATTAAATTTTTTCTTGTTTAGAATTATATTTATTTGTAATAATATACTGCACTAAAAATATTTGTTTCTATTTGTTTTATCTAAAGTGAAATTTGAAATTTAAATCTTACTAATATATTATACGAGGCGTGTTTTTAAAGTAAGTACCGTTTTAATATAACGCCGCTGGAGCGCTGCAGTCGGCACTTAGCGCATGCGCGCTGTGTACCTACATCTGCTGGGAAGCCACAAACGCCATTACGGAGCCAATCGACTGTGTTTACTGTTGTTTGTGTGTTATTGAAATGCCGCCGCTCATTGAGAATCCCGCCGACTGCGAAGTGCGTGCCGTTATTCGTTTTCTCAGTGCTAAAGGCTCGAAAGCGGCTGAAATTCATCGCCAAATCAGTGAAGTTTANCCTCAGCCATATGATACAGTCTTTCTCAAACTCCATCAGTTGTACATATTATCATTATACAGACATTTCTGGCATTCAAACAATAACAAAAATTCTGAACAATGATCTCTGCAAGCCTTTTTACAGGATACTGGGTTAACAATTTTAAGGCATTCTGATGGCATTACTTGGCATGCAATCACTCCACAACTGTAATCATTTATATACATGTCAGAGACATAGCCATAAGCTGAATTTTGCAGTAATCACACACTTCTATCTGGTGCATAACTTTTTTGTCAGTGAATAGTGTCAACGGTGGACACACTTCTTTCAAAACATTATTAAAGAATAGATTATGATTCCAAAAAAGTTATATACAATTTCAATATTTTGTTAATAAAAAAAATCATGATGATTAATTGAATGAACAATTGAATATTTAAGTCAAAAATTCTTACATTGCATTAGTGTTTTTTTTTGTAGTGATTGCATACTAGATTATGATCTTAAAATTATATTCATTAATTAAATTGGTATGGATGGTATCTACATAACATTTTTCTAAAATTTCATAGTAAAAACATTTTTCTAACATTTCTATTAAATTTTTTCTTGTTTAGAATTATATTTATTTGTAATAATATACTGCACTAAAAATATTTGTTTCTATTTGTTTTATCTAAAGTGAAATTTGAAATTTAAATCTTACTAATATATTATAGATTAATGACATCATTAACATTAAGAATCAGGAAGAAATACATTACATTCAAATTGCATTAAATCATCATCTGCCTTTTTTATATTTATATTTTCTTAAATTGTTTTGCTTATTGGAAATAACTGATATTTAGTGTATTTATTCCAGATTTTCTGACTTTTTTAGCATTACAATGTAAAATAATGCCAATAAAATATCTTACTACTGCACCATTATTCTGGAATGTTTTTAAATGTTTTTTGCATATTATAGTGGATGAATAGCCTACAATAAAAGGTCAACTTCACTGGAAAAAGACAGTTTTGTTCCCGAGGTGTGTAAAAAGACATAATGAAGTTATTTTAGTTTCTTCATTTTTTAAATATTAATCTCATCCTAGCCAATATGTTAATTTAATATATACAGTAGTGCCTCTATAATGTCTTTCTCAAACTCCATCAGTTGTACATATCATCATTATACAGACATTTCTGGCATTCAAACAATAACAAAAATTCTGAACAAAGTGATCTCTGCAAGCCTTTTTACAGGATACTGGGTTAACAATTTTAAGGCATTCTGATGACATTACTTGGCATGCAATCACTCCACAACTGTAATCATTTATATACATGTCAGAGACATAGCCATAAGCTGAATTTTGCAGTAATCACACACTTCTATCTGGTGCATAACTTTTTTGTCAGTGAATAGTGTCAACGGTGGACACACTTCTTTCAAAACATTATTAAAGAATAGATTATGATGATTCCAAAAAAGTTATATACAATTTCAATATTTTGTTAATAAAAAAAATCATGATGATTAATTGAATGAACAATTGAATATTTAAGTCAAAAATTCTTACGTTGCATTAGTGTTTTTTTTTTTGTAGTG